TGCAGACCTGGGGACAGTGTTTCATTTCCTGGGGGCTGAAGCTCGTGGGGCTCCAGGGTTGGTGCAAGAGGCAGTCTTCTGGGTTGGGGACGTTAGGGGCGCTGGCCGGGACCGGAGCGTGGGTGGGCCCCTCCTTGGGCCCCCAAACCTCCCAGCTGAGGGAGGCGTGCACAGGGCTGAAGGCTGGTGAGACCTAAATACCCCGAGGGGGCAGTTCATGGGGTCCAGCCGAGGAAGCTGGACCTCATGGGAGCCTGTAGCCACATCAGAATCTTGAAAGTGATGAGGAGAAATTTGTATTTTAGACCCAAGTGAGGAGGTTTCTTTGTGTGATGATGTCTTCTGGGCAGTTTAACATGTCCATCTGGGTGATGGTCTCCGGCATGGCCACGTGGATGGGCGGAGTGTTTTCTTGGTCAGCATCTTAATATGAAGCCCTGGACCCAGATTCAGTTGAACATTTGCTTAGGGCAGCCCGAGTGGGGTCACAGTGTACATTATGTATGGAACCAAACTACTGATGCCCGGGACCAGTGAGGACTCATGTTCTGGGGATGGAAGGACTGTTTCTGCAGGTTCCTATCTCGAGTGCCAGCTTGTCCACACCCTTGTTAGCCTGAAATTGTGTGAGCCTGGCCTGGTCGCCGCTGGAGGCCACACGTCCCGGGAGTTGACGATGCTATCTCTGCCGTGTCTGGTTGCGGCGATGCTGTCCTGTCTGGATGTGGACACATGCGTACGTAGGACGGAAGACAAGGGGGTGGCTGTGACGCAGTGTGAGGCCTGCCGGTCCCACCGTGACCTCGGTTGTAGTCAGTGTCTGCAGCGCTCACAGGGACGCCCTCTGGCTCGGCTGGGACGCTTCAGAGCGGTCCTCATCAGCCTCATGCAGGGAGGTGGCGGGATCTGCCCTTCTACCTCCCGCTGCCCTGAGAGACCCTCTCCGAAAGCGGAGGATCACTTCCTGGGCTCACCTCACAGGAAGGAGGTGGTAAGCTTGTCACCTGCACATCTGCCCGTTTTTTTTTTTTTTTTTTTTTTGCGGTACGCGGGCCTCTCACTGTTGTGGCCTCTCCCGTTGCGGAGCACAGGCTCCGGACACGCAGGCTCAGCGGCCATGGCTCACAGGCCCAGCAGCTCCGTGGCATGTGGGATCCTCCCGGACCGGGGCACGAACCCATGTCCCCTGCATCGGCAGGCGGACTCTCAACCACTGTGCCACCAGGGAAGCCCATGCCCGTTTTTTTTTTGTTTTTTTGTTTTGCGGTACGCGGGCCTCTCACTGTTGTGGCCTTTCCCGTTGCAGAGCACAGGCTCCGGACACGCAGACTCAGCGGCCATGGCTCACGGGCCCAGCCGCTCCGCGGCATGTGGGATCTTCCCGGACCGGGGCACGAACCCGCGTCCCCTGCATCGGCAGGCAGACTCTCAACCACTGTGCCACCAGGGAAGCCCGAGAAACATCTTGTTAAGCCCCTTGCTATATGCCTCACAGAAGAACGTGCTGGACACAGCTGGTAAGGACCATCATGTCACAGGTCCTTCTACTGCATTTCCCTGGTGTCTGATCCCCTTGCAGCCCTTGTGAGCAGTCAGGACAGGTGATGGCCCCGTGTTACAGGGGAAGATCATGCCCTCGGAGCCAGGGTCCGTAACCCATGGGGACGGCGCTACCAAGGGGAGGGCCAGGGCTCCCGTCCAGACCCTCCTCTCAAAGATCCTGCATTTGTTTTCACTTCCCCACGTCTGTGGTCCTTTGGGAGAACTGTATTTTGAGTTGTCATTTTAAGTCACTTGGAAGGTGGAACTTTTTGGAGAAAGAAACCAGTGCTAGGTTGCCAGGTTATCCACAGACGACCATTCCTGCGATGATGCAGCAGAGCTGGCGTCCACAGCTGCGGTAGAGGGTGTTGGGTGCTGGGGCTGAGAAGGAGAGTAGGTGGAAACTGTTTCCTTTGTCCAGGACTGGCTCTAGACAAATTCCCTAGTGGCCAGTGATGTCTGTGGCACCTTCCGCCCTCTTGGCCTCCTGCGGCCCTGTGTCTGGCCACCCGGGGCCCCCGGCCCTCCTGAAATACTCAACCCCACCAGTGGCTCTCAGCCTTGCCCTGAGGCTCTTTCTAGGACCAGTGCCTGTGCCCACCTCCAGAGGGAGTTCATTGGTCTGCGGTGCAGACTGGGCTTCAGTTGGTTTTAAAAGTTTACCAGGGATTCACGTACGCTGCGAGCTTTGAGAACCATCGTGGCCGCATGCAAACCCCCCTACCTCTGGTGTAGCTGAGTCTAGCCGGGTGTCAGGGAGGCCGCAGTGGAGACTGCATGTGCTCTGGCCGCTCCCACATCTCCATCCGCTTGGGCCCCACGCTGGAACATTGCCTTGGTCAGTGTGCTTGTCACAACTCCGTCTCTGCGACCACAGCTGCCTGAGGGCAGCCCATTGTTCCTGTCTAGAGCTACGCTTCTCAGCTTCTCAACCTGTTACTTGGTGAAATACAATAAAACCAAATTGCTAGAAAAAGAAAATGGAGAGAAAAAAAATACAAAATACTGCACCAGCCTTTCTTTCTTTAGTTTTTGGGCGCACCCTGCGGCGTGTGGGATCTTAGTTCTCCAACCAGGGATCGAACCTGCACCTCCTGCATTGGAGGGCAATCTTAACCATTGGACTGCTGGGGAAGTCCCCCCTCCACTGCCCCGAGCCTTTAAAAAAAATGTTCTTTTTAATTAAAAAAAACTTTTTATTGGAGTATAGTTGATTTACAATGTTGTGTTAGTTTCAGGTGTATAGCAAAGTGAATCAATTATATATACATACATATATCCACTCTTTTTTTTTTATTCTTTTCTCATATAGGCCATTACAGAGTATTGAGTAGAGTTCCCTGTGCTATACAGCAGGTTCTTACTAGTTATCTATTTTCTATACAGTAGTGTGTATATGCCCATCCCAATCTTCCAAATTTTCCTCCCCCCCGTTACCCCTGGTAACCATAAGTTTGTTTTCTACATCCGTGACTTAACTTCTGCTTTGTAAATACGTTCATTTGTACCCTTTTTTTAAAGATTCCGCATATAAGCAATATCATGTGATATTTGTCTTTCTGCGTCTGACTTACTTCACTCAGTATGATAATCTCTGGGTCCATCCATGTTGCTGTAAGTGGCATTATTTCATTCCTTTTTATGACTAAGTAGTATTCCATTGTATGTATGTACAACATCTTCTTTATCCATTCATCTGTCGGACATTTAGGTTGCTTCCATGTCCTGGCTATTGTAAATAGTGCTATGATGAACATTGGGGTGCATGTATCTTTTTGAATTATGGTTTTCTCCAGGTATATGCCCAGGAGTGGGATTCCTGGGTCGTATGGTAGTTCTAGTTTTAGTTTTTTAAGGAACCTCCATACTGTTCTCCATAGTGGCTATACCTGCCCCAGCCCTTGATGATTAGCTTCTGCAGACGTGCAGTCGCTCTTGTCACTGGGGAGGCATCTCAGTTTCTGTCCTGACCTCAGCGAGGACCAGGCGGTGACACCACCCCGGCCTGCACAGCTGAGGAGCACAGGCTGGGGTGGGCCGTGCACACTCCCTCTCCCGTGGACGGTCAGAGCTGAAGCCCTTGGCGTGTGGGCAGAGGAGAAGCCGGTGCTGGTGGCGGAGGTAGGGAGAGAGCCGGAGGATGGTGCATCCGCGTGGTGCCCGTGGCCGGCGAGGCTCGAGTGGTCCCTTTGAAGACTGCCTCAGCCCATGCCTGGTTCTCCCGTGTCTCTTTCAATCAGTGTGTGGTCTTAGCTTTTGTTTCAAAATGAATGGAAAGAACAGAAGTGATGCAGGGACCTTTTAATTTTAATTAATTAAGTAATTAATTTTGGGGGCTGTGTTGGGTCTTCGTTGCTGTGCGTGGGCTTTCTCTAGTTGCAGCGAGCGGGGGCTACTCTTCGTCGAGGTGTGCGGGCTTCTCACTGCGGTGGCTTCTCTTGTTGCGAAGCACGGGCTTTAGGCATGCGGGCTTCAGTAGTTGTGGCTCACGGGCTCTAGAGCGCAGGCTCAGTAGTTGTGGCGCACGGGCTTAGTTTCTCCGTGGCATGTGGGATCTTCCCGGACCAGGGATCGAACCCGAGTCCCCTACACTGGCAGGCGGATTCTTAACCACTGCGCCACCAGGGAAGTCCAGGACCTTTTTAAAGCAGAGGAAAAGGTACCAACTGAAATTTGCTTTTGCCCCAACTCACTTTTGGTTTTCTGTCTCCAACTTTCCTAAATTTCCAGCTTCTCTTGCTGCTTCTCTCTGGGCTGTCAGGAGACGGGGTGGAGAAGAGAGGGAGAGGTTCTCGGAGCCCCGAGTCACGGGGGTCATGTGAGGGCCTCCCCCTGGCCAACCCACAAGACACCAAGAGGCGCTTTTTGGGGACTCACCCCTCCTGGCATCCCTCCCGGGTGGGGGGCTCCCTGTCCTGCTCGGGTGCCCCTCGGCCAGCACTCCTTCTCCAGGTGTAACAATTAAGACCTGGAAATTCAGTCAATGAGCAGACACCGTTTCTAACCGGTACCTCTTTCCAGGTATCTGCACCTCCAGCCTGGTGGCTGTGACCTTGAGGTGGCTCAGAGGTACTGTGTCAGGTAGCTGCTGCTTTGATGTGTGTCAGATAGCCTAGCCGTGTGGGCCATTGTAGGCACCCGCATCTGCCCCCGAGTCCCCCCAGCCCTGGCACCTGAAGGCAGCTTCTCGGCCCCAAGAACCTCCTCCCTGTGCTGTGTGTGCCCTGACTTCCCTCCTGTGAGCACGGCCTCCATGTTGAAGGCCGAGTCTGTCGTGTTCCTGGCAGCCCGCATGGGCTGGGGGTGTGGGTGGTGCTGCGTCTGGCCGCCCGGCACAGGCCCGCTCGGGAAGGGATGCCGGGGGCTGGAGAAGGAGGTGGGGAAGCCTGGCTCCGAGGTGCCCACTCAAGGCCCAGGCTGGCAAGGATGGGCACTGAGGCTGCCTGTGCTCCCTGCAGGGTGAACTGGCACAGGCTGACCCCTTTGTGGCTGAGGCATTGGCGCTTGGGGCTGCCCGCCAAAGGGCAGAACTTCATGCTGGAGGACTCGGCTTTCTGGATCTTCGGGGGCTCTGTGCACTACTTCCGGGTGCCCCGGGAGTACTGGAGGGACCGGCTGCTGAAGATGAAGGCCTGTGGCCTGAACACCCTGACCACGTGAGTGCGCCCCGACACCCCGGCCACCGTGCCTTGTCGCCAAGGGGGCTCCTGGGCCTGCGTCCAGGCTTCTCCGTCACATTGGGAGGGTAAGCCCTGCTTGGTCCTCCCCCTGCGCAGCCTGGAGGAGCATCTTCGGGCTGAGCTTTGTGAGGAAAGATTAGCAGGGGCCCAGCCCCTGGGTGGGTGTGAATGGGGGCAGCCTCCCCACCACACACTGTCAGGGGGCCGAGCGGTGGGGGCTGGACGTGGGCTGGGGGCAGAAGGAGCGACACTGGCTGAAAGAACCCAGTGAGCGAGGCCAGCGTACACGCAGCAGGTGGTGAAGTCATCACAGTCTTTCAGCCAGCCCTCCACCTTGCGTCTGTACAGTAGGTGCGTGTACACCTCTCCAGCACAGCCCACGCGGTTTGCAACCTTCCTTTCTGGAATCATCTTCAGAGCTTTGGCTTCCACCCTAGAACAAGCACAGGGTCAGCACGTGGTGGTCACTCAGTGCAGCGCTGACATGTGAATCAGTTAAAAGCGTGCTCAGTGGGGAGAAATCTTGGATCATTTTGTGGATTTATTTTTCAGAATTTCCAACGGATATTTGGATCGAAGTCTGTGAAATAAAGTGGGTGATCAGGCTGGGTTTTATTAAAATTTCAGGCAAAAATGTGTGATTACAAGTCAAGGACATGGATTTTCTTGGTGACGTATGAACTGCTTTGAAGACAGCCCTAAGTACGGGGGTGTTCTCACCCGTGACAGCACAGTTGAACAAAGTATGTGATTTTCCAGGAAGATTGCCTAGTGGGATCCGTTTATTTGCATGTGTAAGTTCTGATCCTGCGGGTACGTGCTCTTGTTATAGGGCTCCTGAATCTTGTAGGAATATTGCAGGGGGAGCATTTCGCCTCGCGAGAGCAGGATAATCTACATAATCTCTTGAATGTGAATTGGGAGCCGGCAAGCCCCTCCTTCACCTGGGCACCCTTTGCAGTCAGAGAGGCTCCCCCAGAAGCTGGGGGTGGGGTGGGGTCCAGGAGAGGGGCAGCTGGAATTACTGTCAGCACACTCTACTCTACATCAGGCCCTTCAACGAACTTACTTCATTTCCTTATCCTTTCTTCAGAGTAAGAACGTCTGTCCTGTTCCAAGGTTTGGAATTCTGGAGTTTTCATTAAAAATAAGACTGATGATTAGGGTTTCTTTTTACCCTACTTTTGTTACCGACCAGGGTTCTTGGACTCTTTAACCAATAGAATTTGACAGGAGGCCAGATGAGGAATTCGGGCAAAGCTTGGCTGGGACTCACTCTGCAGCCCAGGTAGCGAGAACAAGTAACAGGTGCCCTTGTTGCTTCCCGAGGGGGGCAGGCTGCTCCCTTAAATGGGGTGAGGGTGGAGGCAGGTCCAGGGGTCCGGCCGGAGGCAGGGCTTAGGTGGTCTGCCCGCCCCCTTGGTGCTGTGTGTGCAGGGATGGTGCACAGGACCCTGCTCTTGCCCCCAACACCCCAGAAATGGCAGTTGGGTTTGTGGCCTTTTTGTATCTTGTGGTTGATAATTTGCCCCCTGAGCAGGCCTGCAGTTATTTTTAGTCCCTCAGAGTTTCTTTTGTATCTGTTGTTGGAGGAGACATTTGTCCAGGTGCAGATCCTGCAACAAAGGGCCCAGGTCCCAGCTTGTCCCACATTTAACTGATTTTCCTATAAAGTTACTTCTTTTTCTTTGATGAAGAGAGAGGATGATGGGGAGGGATGGGGGAAGAGGGAGTCACCAGATCTCCTGGGCCTTCTCTCCCTCCTTCCAGGGAGAGGACTTGCCCTGGCTTCTCCGAGGTCCCAGGTCTCTTCAGTTTGTTCTCGGTTCAAGCCCTGACAACACTAAGACAATGTACTTAAGAAATACATCTTCGGGCTTCCCTGGTGGCACAGTGGTTGAGAGTCCGCCTGCTGATTCAGGGGACATGGGTTCGTGCCCCGGTCCGGGAAGATCCCACATGCCGCAGAGCGGCTGGGCCCGTGAGCCATGGCCGCTGAGCCTGCGCATCCGGAGCCTGTGCTCCGCAATGGGAGAGGCCACAACAGTGAGAGGCCCGTGTACAGCAGAAAAAAAAGAAATACATCTTCAACCATCGTGAGGGGTTTTAGGGACGAAGGTGCTCATTTGGGAGACAAAGTGGGATAAGTGGAGAACTCATGCCTGTAATTATCATTTCTACCATAGCTACGTTTCGTGGAACCTCCATGAGCCGGAAAGAGGCAAATTCGACTTCTCTGGGAACCTGGACCTGGAGTAGGTGCTCCTGCTGTGTGACCCGGCCTGGGGCAGGGGGGTGCGGGGGCTCCTGGGGTGACTGGGATCCCCAGGGGCACCTGGGCTCTGCCGTGAGAACAGAGGGAGCCTGGGGTCTGCAGCCTGTTCTCAGGACCCGAACGCTCTCCAGCCATGACCCCCTTACTCCCGGGGGCCCGGGCCTGCCTGCCCTGAGCCCAGACCTGTTCGCTGCAGCCCAGAGGGGCCCCATCCCCCAGGTGGGCCCTGCTCTGCAGGGTGGTCCTGCCACCGCCGGGGTGGGGGGCCGGCAGGGTCAGGCTCCCCATCGGGACCCCTGTGCCCCGTCTGAGGCCCGTTGTCCTCGTGCCCCCAGAGGTGCTGTGCGGATGTCCTAGGCTGGGGGCCACGGCTGTGACCCGGCTGGGCATCCCCTGCTCTGCTGGGGGGTCGCATCCTGCTCTCAGCGCCCCCAGCCCCCTGGGGGAGGGGAGGGGGCGGCAGCTCTGCCCTGTGGTGGTGCTGGGCCGTCCCCCCTCGGCTCCGAGGCCTGAGAGCTAGTGACACTGACCCCCAGGGCCTTCGTCCTGTTGGCCGCGGAGGTGGGGCTATGGGTAATCCTGCATCCGGGCCCCTCCATCTGCAGTGAGATGGACCTCGGGGGCCTGGCCAGGTGAGCGGGGCCGGGGGCCTCAGCTGTGTCCGGAGTGGAGCATCGCTGACGCTGTAGTCCAGTCTAACGATAACAGCGCCTGTCCTGTGTTTCCCCGCGCACGTGTTGTCTCAGGGAACGCGGTGGGTGGTGACGCGCCGAGGGGCCTGTGCTGCTCCAGTCCCCGAATCCCTGGTTCACCGATGAGATGTGGGTCTTGGTCGTGCAGCCAGGAGTATGTGGGGGAGGGGAAGCGTCAGCTGCTCGTGTTTCTTTCCGGGAGGGAGCGGGGCCGGGGGCCTCAGCTGTGGCCGGAGTGGTCCTGTGCGCTTGTGCAAAATGCTAAGCACCAACGTAGGTTTAATTTGGCTGTTAACCTATACTTTTCATTCTGTGCTGAAGTTCCTTTTCAGAATGAGTGGCAGCCAAAGGGCGTCGTTGTCAGCAATGTCAAAGTTGCTGTCCTCTTCAAATTCCACATGGCTTCCCTGCGCGGGCGCGGGGCTGGCCCTCCTCACTCCTCAGGCCTCTGCTGCGGGGCTGGCCCTGTCAGGTCACGTCTGCTGTGGATGGGCCTCACTTTCTGAAAAATGGGAAGAGTCAAACCCGTCCTTCTGTTTCTTAGGGATGTTACCAAGCATTTTTTAAAAGTGCAAGCATTTTGACAAAGTAGAAGAGAAACAAGTTGTTTTAGTTGTAGCTTTCATCTTCAGATCTCGGGCCCTGATGAATTACCTTGGGGTGTGGTCTCCAGGGGGTCAGTAGCGGGTCTGTGGTCAGGTCAGGAGTCAGGTGGGATCAACTGGCACCACGGCCGGCCCTCGTCCTGGTCGTTACTACCACTGGTGTCCAGCACAAGGGTTTTCTGTTGACAGGCACGGGGTCCTGTCCTCCCAGCCTCCGGCCCCGCCGCCCCGGAGGGAAAGATGGTGCTTTGCCTCCTCCGCCCGCCTCGCTCTCATCTCCAGGGCGACCTGGGCCCTCCCTGGGCTCAGGCCGGCCCCCTCCACTGCCTCACCACCCAGGATCCCTTCTCTGTCGCTGGGCCATCCTGCTCGGCGAGGGGCCCCCGACAAGGCTCACACAGCCACAATGGCCTCGGCACCCCTGCGGATTAGAAACCCGTGTGTCGGTGATGTACCCGGGCTCGGGCCCGGGACGAGGACGGATTAAGTCTGAGCTGAGAAGCAGCTCAGACCTCCCTGCGCCCACCTGTCCACTCAGGTCCGGTTGCGTTGGGGAGGGACTCGTGGGTGGGCACCCCCGGGAGGCCGAGCTGGGCGCGCTGGAAACAGGCAGAATCCCAGTGGGAACGAGAAACCCGAGCTGTCTGCGTGCGATGGACGTGAGGTGTCAGACCAGAGGAGACTGCGCTCTCGTCCACAGTTACCTGACACAAATTGGTAGTTTTCTGAGCCTGTTCACTTCTTGCAGATGAGAACGAGAGAAGCATCAGGCCGTTTGTAAGAAAATACAAATGTTTCTCAGAATTTGGAATGAGAAGGGAGAATACCTTGGTCACGCTCTGTGTTACCTGGCGAGTGTGATCACTACAGACAGGTTGGGGGCAGCTGGACCAGAGCGGGGAGACCAGGGCTAGCTTCTCAGCTGCTGGTTCAGGCTTCTTTTTCTGGGTGACACTGGAAGATGGCACATGTGTCCTCCAGTCCCAGTGATTCCTGACCCCTTTGTCTTCACCTCTTTGTGATGAGATTGTAGTGTAAACGCTTGAAAAATGGGCCTTGGGTTCAATGAGAAGCTTTTCTCCCTCTGGCAGCCAGACCTATAGCCATGAATCAGAACTAGAATGGCCACCGGTGCTGGTGTCCTCGGGTGGGAAGCAGGCCCAGATCCATGCCCGTGTCTGCCCCGAGTCCTGGCTGAGTGGACGTGGGGGGAGACTGGTCTCCACACTCATTCCTGGGCTCTCTGAAGCTGGTTCCTTTCACCCATCACCCTGCCCAGAGCAAATCCCCAGACAGTAAAACTAATCACCCCGCCCCTTTTCATTCCAGCTGGTTACTCCAAGACCCCGACATGAGGCTGAGAACAACTTACAAGGGCTTCACCGAAGCAGTGGACCTTTATTTTGACCACCTGATGGTCAGGGTGGTGCCACTCCAGGTAAAAGCGAGCAGACCCTTCTCTGCCCTCCCCGTCCTCCCACTGGTGGTAAAGAGTCCAGGTGAAGCTCTCAGACCAGGGCTCGCAGCCCTTTGCACACGGGACACCTTCCCCCCACTGCCTGGGACGTGCATTTGGAGGGCCTTGAATGGTGGTCTTTGCAGAGGTCTGTCTAGTGCGGTGTTGCCTTAGGTGGGATGCAGATGTTGCTGGCGCAGTGCCAGGGCTGCAGCACTTGCCGCCTTGGTAACTGGAACACCCACCCATCTGCGTCCCAGCAGCACAGTGATCCAGCTCTGCTAGAGGGGAGCTTGTGTGGATAGGCCCTCGCCTGTGAGATGGCAGGACTTCTTGTCATTATAGTTACCACTGATGACTTTCCAAAGTACATCCTTCTGCTACCAAAAAGGTGCTGCACGGTACATGATTATTATTCAAAACATATGTCTTAAAATGCATTTTGGGGAGAAGGTATCTTAACTTGGCATCTAATAATTGGAAGCAATGAGAAAGCAGGAATGGGAATAATTAACTCAATTGCTTCTGTAAGTGTGACATTGAGAAATTTGTACATCAGTAAAATATTAGTTCATCAATAAAAAATTTTTTTTTTTTTTTTTGCCGTACGCGGGCCTCTCACTGTTGTGGCCTCTCCCGTTGCGGAGCACAGGCTCTGGACGCGCAGGCTCAGCGGCCATGGCTCACGGGCCCAGCCGCTCCGCGGCACGTGGGATCCTCCTGGACCGGGGCACAAACCCGTGTCCCCTGCATCGGCCGGCAGACTCTCAAACACTGCGCCACCAGGGAAGCCCTAAAAATTGTTTTTGAGTCAGTGGTTTGGGATATTCACAGCACACATAGATCAAAGGAACTGTTGGTCATTTGTAGCGTAGGCAAATAAAACACAGGATACCCAGTTAAATGTGAACTTCAGATAAGCAAGGAATAATTTTTTTTAATTAACGTATATCCTAAATATTGCCTGGGACATACTGACATTAAAAAATTCATTGCTTATTTAAAACTTTCATTGTAAATTCAAGTAGTGTAACTGGGTGTCTTGTATTTTTATTGACTAAATCTGGCAGCCCCAATCATGAAAGAAGCAAGAAGCTAGGACTTTAGCCTAGACTTTTACAAGGAAATGGGATTACCGGGGTGATTCAGTGAGCTGTAGTAGGTTGGGGGGTGGGCGTGGGCATGGAGGCTTTGTCAGGAATGTGGCCCAGAAGCATTCTTAAGCATGGAAAGGGCATCCCCAATCCATTAAAAAAAAAATTTTTCTGGGTATAACATAATTATTTTATTTTTTTATTACGGTTAAATATACGTAACATAAAATTTACCATTTTAAGCATTTCTAAGTGTCCAGTTCAGTGGCATTAAGTGCATTCACATTGTTGTGCAGCTGTCACCACCGTCATCTCCAGAACTGAAACTGTCCCCATTAACACATTATTGACTGGGGGATTTTTGCAGAAACTAACGCCTGTGGCCATAATATGTCTCCTGTCAAGAATGTGTTAAACATGAACTCCCATTCTCCCTTCTCCGTAGCCCCGGCACGCACCATTCTACTTTCTGTCTCTGTGAACTTGACCCCTCTAGGGACCTCATCTAAGTAGAATCGTACAGTACTTGTCCTTGGGTGACGGGCTTATTTCACTGAGCGCAGTGTCTTCAAGGTTTATCCATGTTGTGGCATAGGTCAGAATTTCTTTCCTTTTTAAGGCTGAGTGAGATTCCATTGCACGTATATACTGTTTTGCTTTATCTGTTCATTAATCAGTGGACGCTTAGGTGTTTTTGCTCATTGTGAAAAAAGCTGCTCTAAGCGGACTGTATGGATATCTGTTTCAGTCCGTTTTCACTTCCTTTGGATATATACCCAGAAGTGGTATTGCTGGATTACACAGTGATTCTGGGTTTTAAGTTTCTGAGGAACAGCTATAAGTTTTCCACAGTGCACCATTTTACATCCTCAGGGGCAATGCACAAAATTCCAGTTTCTTGACATCCTGGCCAACAGTTGTTGTTTTCTGCTTACTTTATAAAAGCCATCCTAATGGGTGTCAGGTGGTATCTCGTTGTGGTTTTGATTTGAATTTCCTAATAATTAGTGATGTGGAGTATTTTTTCATGTGCTTACTGGCCATTTATATATCTTCTTTGGAGAGTTATCTATTCAGATTCTTTGCCCATTTTTTATTGGGTTGTTTGTTTTTGTTGTTGTAGGACTTCTTTATATCTTCAGTATCTGTCAGTATCTTGTCAGATGCATGATTTGCAAATATTTTCTTCCATTCCGAGGGCTGCCCTTTCACCCTTGTTGATTGTGTCCTTCCATGCACAGAACTTTTTAATGTTAAGTCACACGTATCTTGTTTTTCCTTTTGTTGCCTGTGCTTTTGGTTCCACCTCCCAGAAATCATTGCCAAATCCAGTGTCATGAAACTTCTCGCCTGTGTTTTCTTCTAAGAGTTTCAAGGTGTTAGCTCTTACATTTAGGTTTGTGATGTTCTTTGAATTAAGTTTTGTAGATGGTGTAAAGTAAGGGCCCAGGTTCGTTTTTTGCACGCGGATATCCAGTTTTCTCACCGTTTGTTGAAAAGATGACTGTCCTTTCCCCATTGAATGGTCTTGTCATCCTTGTAGAAAATCTTTTGGCCATACGTGTGAGAGTTTATTTCTGGGCCCTCTATTCTATTCCATTGGTCTGTATGTTTGTCTTTTTTTTAATTAATAAATTTATTTATTTATTTATATTTTTGGCTACGTTGGGTCTTCGTTGCTACTCACGGGCTTTCTCTAGTTGCGGTGAGCGGGGGCTACTCTTCGTTGTGGTGCACGGGCTTCTCATTGCGGTGGCTTCTCTTGTTGCGGAGCATGGGCTCTAGGTGCACGGGCTTCAGTAGTTGTGGCACTTGGGCTCAGTAGTTGTGGCTCACGGGCTCCAGAGCGCAGGCTCAGTAGTTGTGGCGCACGGGCTTAGTTGTTCTGTGGCATGTGGGATCTTCCTGGACCAGGGCTTGAACCTGTGTCCCCTGCACTGGCAGGCGGATTCTTAACCACTGCACCACAAGGGAAGTCCTGTATGTTTGTCTTGAGGCCAGTAACACACTGTTTTGATTACCATAGCTGTGTAGTAAGTTTTGAAATCAGCAAGTGTGAGACCTCTAACTTGGTTCTTTTTTTTTTTCCAACATTGCTTTGGGTATTCAGAGTCTCTTGAGATTCCATGTGGATTTTAGGATGGCTTTTTCTGTTTCTTCAAAAACATTGCAGTTTTGACAGGGATTACATTGAATTTGTAGATCACTTTGGGTAGTACTGACATCTTAACAATATTAAGTCTTTCAGTCTATGGACACAGGATGTCTTTCCATTTATTGGCATCTTCTTTAATTTCTTTTGGCAACATTTTGTAGTTTTCAGTGTCTAAGTATTTTGTCTCTTTGATTACATTTATTCATAAATATTTAAATCTGTCTGATGCTATCGTAAGTAGCATTCGTTGGTAGTGTATAGAAGCAACTGATTTTTTTTGTGCATTGATTTTGTATCCTGCAGGTTTGCTGAATTTGTTTACTAGAACTAACAGGTTTTTTTTTAATCCATTCTGTAAATCTGTTTTTGGTTGGGGAGTTTAATCCATTTACATTTAAAGTAGTTACTAATAGGGAAGCACTTACTTTTGTTGTTTGTGTTCTGTATGCCTTATAGCTTTTTTTCTCCCTCATCTCCTCCATTACTTCCTTCCTTTGTATTTAGTTGATTTTTTAATGACAAGTTTTTATTCCCTTTTTTTTCCCTTTTGTGTATCGTCTACAGATATTTTGGTTGTGGTTACCATGGGGATTATATACACTGTCCTGAAGTTAAGACATTCTATTTTATATTTATACCAACTTACCTTCAATCACATACAAAAACTCTACGCTTTAAAAGCTCTGCCCCCTTTATATTATTGCTGTCACAAATTATATTTTTATATATCATGTACCAATTAATATAGATTCATAATATTTTTATGCACTTGTTTTAAATCCTGTAAAAAATAAGAAGTGGAGTTATAAGCTAAAATTACAATAATAGTGGATTTTACATTTTTTCACATATTTACCTTTACCAGAGAACTTTATATTTTCATTTGATTTTGAGTTGTCATCTAGCATCCTTTCATTTCAACTTGAGGAACTCTGTGTAGCATTTCTTGTAAGGCAAGTCTAGTGGTGTAATGAATTCCCTCAGCTTTTATTTGTCTGAGAATGTCTTAGTTTCTCTTTTACTTTTGAAGGACAGTTTTGCTGGATATAGAATTCTCACTTGATAGGATTTTTCCTTCAGCACTTTGAATATAGTATCCCACTGCCTCTGTCCTACAAGATTTCTGATGAGATACCTACTGATAGTCTTATTAGGGATAGTTAGCAGATATTTGGTCCTGTCCAAAATGTTCATAAGACATTTGGTCCACACTAACAGGGCTTTGATGTTTGGTTCTGTCCAAAACCATTTGGCACGGACCAAATATGCTCATGGACATTTTGGATAGAACCAGATTTCAAGGACCTTTTGGCATGAACTAAATATCTTATGGAATGAATGTCTTATGGATGTTTTGGACAGGACCAAATGTCCTGCAAGGTTGGGGCTCCTTTGTACATGTCTCGTTGCTTTTCTCTTGCTCCTTTTAAGACTCTCTCTTTGTCTTCTGACAGTTTGATAATGTGTACTGGTGTGGGTCTCTGGTTTAATGCTACTTGGAGTGCACTGAAGCTTCTTGGATTTGTATATCCATGTCTCCTCCATTATGTCTTCAAATAATCTCTCTGCCCCTTTCTTCTCCTTTTGGGGTTCCTGTAATGAGTATATTTGTCTGTTTACTGATTTGCATAAGTCTCTCAGGCTCTGTTCACTTTTCTTCATTCTTTTTTCTTTTTGCCTGTCAGACTCAGTAATTCAAAATGACCTGTCGTCAAGTTTGCACACTCTTTCTTCTGCCTGTTCGAATCTGCTGTTGAACTCCTGTGGTGAATTTTTCTATTTAGATAACGTACTTTTCAGCTCCAGAATTTCTGTATAGTTCTTTTTAAAAATCATTTCTGTCTCTTTATTGATATTCTGACTTTGTCCGTAAGTCCTTTTCCTGATTTCTGTCCATGTTTTCCTTTAGCTCTTTGAGCATATTTATGACAGCTGTTTTAAAGTCTTTGTCTAGTAAGTTAAGTGCGTGTGTTTCTTTAGAGACTGTTTCTAGCTTCTTTACAGACTGTTTCTAGAGACTTATTTTGTTCCTTTGAATGAGCTACGTTTTCCTGTTTCTTTGTATGCCTTGTGTTTTTTGGGTGAACATTGGGCACTTATAAAAACAGTCCTCTCTCCCAGTGTTTGCTGTCTTCTGGGGACACCTTTACTATTTAGTGGGCTCCTGAGCCTTGAGATCAGCCTGGGGTGCAGGCTTAAGATCTTCTCAGATATTTTCTTGGCATGTGTCCTATCTGGCCTGTGTCTGTGCTTTTCTTTCTTTCTTTTTTTTTAAATTTCTCCCAGCTGCTTTTACATCTTGATTTCTCAAAGAGTGTCTCCCTGGCTTCTTCTTGTGACTTTAGGTGTTCTATCGTATTCCTCTGCCTGTAATCCTTTGCCCCCAGGCATCCATGGGTTTGTAGTCCCCCTGAAATGTTTACATGCTGTGACCCTTCACAGCCTTCTGCAGCTTCCAGCCTGAGGTCCAAACTATGCCAACATTTTCTGTCTGATCTCCAAGTCAGGTGAGACAGAAACTAGTCCCCTGGGGAGCCTACAGACAGCCCAGGACATTGCAAACAAGTTCCATCTTGCTCCTTCTGTCCTCAGGGAGGGAACTGGAAATAGGGATGCGTCCTTTTGACTGCACCATGCTACGCCAGGGAGGGGGTGGGACAAAGGTGATTGAAACCATGGAATCTCCTACCATTTTGAACATGTCTTTTTCTTGATTGGGTATTCACTCATTTGCTTAAACATTTCACTTGTTTCCAGAGCTCCTGTAAAGTTATTTCAGTCAGCGTGCAGTTGTTTGTTTGGTGTTTCCATAGGGGAACGAGGGCCTGGCGCTTCCTACTCCCTGTCTTACTGACACCACTCAATTATATACCAAACCTTTTGAGACTTGCGCTTTCTAATGGGTTGTTTTGCTATAATTGGCAGTAAGTGTGGTGACATTAGCTAGTACGGTTCCCACTGCACACTCAGCTTCTGATTGTTCTCTCTTTTCCCAGTACAAGCACGGAGGACCCATCATTGCTGTGCAGGTGGAGAATGAGTATGGTTCCTACAACAAAGACCCTGCCTACATGCCTTATGTCAAGAAGGTAAGAGTCAACTTGGGTCACCTCTTCGTGGGGTGTTCTGGGCTCTGGTGCAATGTGAGGGTCTGATGTCACCCAGCACCATTTATTAATTGGTGAATCTTTTCTCCAGACCTTTATTCCAACAGGGTCCTCACTTATTTGCCCTCTGTTGGCTGAGTTTAATGGGAATCGCAGTACATACGGGGCTGAGAGTAATGGAACTACCTTGATTGAGGGCGATGGCTGGAGGCCTTCCTGGAGGGGTGGGTTGCTCCTCTCACTCCAGCACCCAAAGCAGCGGCCCCACTGTCAGCTGCACATTGGCTTCATCTGGGGAATCGTTTAAACTCACTGTGCCCAGGCCATATGCCATCCCATTAACTCAGGGTCTTGGGGGTGGAGCTCAGACATCTGATTCCAGCGTGTGGGTGGCTGGGAGCCCCTGACTGTGTGTCAGAGCAGGGAGGGGCAGGCCCAGGGCAACACTTAGAAGAACAGGCTTCTGCTCAGAGGTGGTTCCTGTCACTTGGTGAATGAGACCTGGAATAAATTGCATTCATTTTTCTAAACCCCCACTTCCTCTTCTGTGCAGCTGGGCTAACGAGAGGATTTGCCTCTCCACATTGTGCGTGTAGTGAGGTTGCAGACGCAGTGCCGTTCCAGCATCCAGTGAGCAGTCAGTAAACAGGATCGTGATGTTATCAGCAACACCGGTGTTTTGTACTTGGAAGGGTCGGCACCCGTGTGAGGTGAGGAAGCTTTATGTGGCCTCAGTAACTCCACTAATTTAATTAGAGCTGCTCCGGCCCCTGGTGTCCTGGGTGGCATCCCTTCTGCTGTCACAGGCAGAGTTGTGTCCATCTGGAATTCCTTTAGTCCCTGCAGATGGCTTGTAGGTTCTTACCCACTCTCCCCTGCCCCCCACGCCCCCGCAGAAGCCCCCGGTGTAGGGGCAAGGCTGTCTCTGGGGAGGGTGGTGTTCCTGAAGCTGGATGGGGAGAGATCAGTCCTGACGGTCAGGCCCTGTCACACCCTGGCCTCCTCCTTGGGGTTGGCTGGAAGGAGCCCGGCCAGGGCTCAGGCCAGGAGGGCATCTACTGCCCCAGCACAGACCCCGAGACTCTCCTGGGCTGGGCTTCCCCAGCAGGTGCTCACTGAATCTCTGGGCTGCAGAGAAGGAAGCTGCCCTGCTGGGGACGGGGGCAGCCCCGCAGAGACCTCCCCTGCGCAGTCGTGACTCTGGTGTCTGGGAAGGGGTGCATGTGAGACAGGCGGACAAAGGGACGCCTCTGTGGTCGCAGATGGACGGCCTGTCAGAGCCGCTCAGCAGAAGACTGCAGGGCTCCGGGTGGAGGGGCCGGGACCCCAGGGCAGCCCACCCCTCCCTGCGTTGGTCCTTGCTGCAGCCATGCGCCCGGGGAGTTGGGAGGGGCGCCTTGGAGGGTGCGGATCACAGGAGGAAACCGCAGCGCGTTTCGCGCATTCCGCGCGTGGTGCTGGGGCCGACCGGCATCCTTCCCCGGGAGTGGCGGCCGCGGCCATCATCACTGAAGACCCTGAGTCGTGCGTAGCTTCTTCGGGGCCCTGCAGATGTGGCGCTGTCTGCATAGGACGGCCATGGGCAGGGCACTTTGCCCTCTGAGCCTTAGGGTCTCCACGCGCACAGCAGAGGCGGGAGCGTCCTTGTCTTGGCCCTGTGGGGAAGCAGTGAGGTGGTCGGCACAGCCCAGCTCTGCCTGGCGGGTGGCGGGTGCTCGGGGGCAGCGACTGTCCCTCGCGGTGCAGGCGGTCAGTCTGTGCCCCTAGGAGATGGACATTGTCAAGTTGTGTTCCCCCCACCCCCCAATGCCGTGCACAGGGGGGCCTGAGCAGGGTCTGCTGAGCATCGGCGACAGGCTGGCTGCTTCGATCCTGCACTGGCCTCCCCCGACTGAAGTCCTGAGAATGAAGGCCTCTCTGCTGCGTCCTCACGGCCTCCGGGCAGATGGGAGCCTTAGTCACTGCTCACTGCCTCACCTCTTTCCAAAGGAGTTTGGTTGAAATAAGCAGTCTTGTCATAATACCTGAGGAAGAAGTGTCAGGAAGATGCCCTTGCTGGGGTTTCAGGTCCGCAGGCCCCAGGCCCCATGCGGAGCCCAACAGGGATGGACCGGCTCAGGTGCGCACCTGCCCGCCAGCTCTGGACGCTGCAGCCCTTGTCTCTGAGCCTCCTCACCCTGCAGTGAAATGTCAGGTGTGAGGCTGACCAGGATGGCCTGTGCAAGGGGCTTGCGGGGACGCCCGCATGATGGTGATTGTTCCTGAGCCGCGGCTGCCGCTCCCGGGGAAGGACGCCGGTCGGCCCCAGCACCACCCGCATTCCTGCTGCGGTTTCCTCCTGTGATTTGCACCCTCCAAGGCGCCTCTCCCATCTCCCCGGGTGCATGGCTGCAGCGAGGCCCAACGCAGGGAGGGGTGGGCTGCCCTGGGGGTCCCGGCCCCTCCATGCGGAGCCCTTCAGTCTTCTGCCTGGCGGCCTTGCCAAGTGGCTCTGACAGGCCGTCTATCCGGGACCAGCAGCCAGCTGCCCAGCGCCCCTCGGGCCTGACAGCCTGCCACGCGGTGGGAGCTCAGCGTGTGATGTGGCAGGAGGTTTGAGGGACAACAGGTTGGCTCATCTCACTCCCCCACAGGCCCTGGAGGACCGGGGAATCGTGGAGCTGCTCTTGACCTCAGACAACAAGGACGGCCTGAGCAGGGGGATTATGGACGGAGGTACCTGCCTGGAGGCTGTGTGCAGGGATGGGGACAGGGGACGGGACGGCGGCCTGGCCTGGCTGTGCTCCCTGGATAGCCTTAGCCACAAAGGAGTCTCTGATGCCTGTTCTCCTGCGTGCGTGGGGCTGGGCCCCAAAGCTCAGGGCCTCAGGGCTGGAGGGGCTGCGAGAGGTGGGCTTGCGTAGCCGAGTCGCTGAGCACCAGGGACGCTCAGGGCCCTGCAGGACACGGGGCAGCGGAGTGGGCATCGGACACGGTCCTACAAAGAGGGCCGGGCAGACCAAGTGCCGGGTGTCCCGTGGGGACAGCTCGCTCAAGTCCTGCCCGGGGCTGCGCAGCCCACAGCGCCGGCCGGTCATCTGGGCGGCGGTGTCCGGGGGTGAGCGCGTGGCTCTCGTCCCGCGTCCCCGTGCCCCTGCTCCGCCTCTCTCCCTGTTGCTGTGGACGCCCCCACCTGGCACCGCTTCCAGGTCAGACACCCCCACCTGGAGCGAAGCCCTTTCTCCTTCTGCCCTGCCCACGTCACCCGATTTCCCTGCCCTGGGTCCTTCCCGCCCGCACACGCCTGTGTAGCTGTTTCCTCCTGAGAAGCCCCCCGACCCGTTCCCCGCAGAGCTGTCTCTCTATCCCCACTCTCCCCGCGTCCACGCTCACTGGCTCCCCGGCCCCTTTCCTGCTGTCTTAGGTCCTGTGATCATCTCTCCGCCGACACCACCCTTTGCAAGGTCACAGTGACCTCCACCTGACACATTTAAGTTGTCGTGCTCATCACCTCTGACCCGTCTGATGGGGCCTTTGGTCCCTTTTCTTCTCACTGGGGGTCTGGGGCACCATTTCTCCGACCTTGACCTCGGGCAGCTCGGGTCCTGTTCTCCCGAAAAGTTTCCCGTCATGTCCACGCGGTGGCGCTGTGTCCCCGTGGCGGTTTCCAAGGCTCCCCGCGGTCCGCCTGTCAGGGTCGGGTCAGGGCCTGGGAGGGGCTGTGGGGCTTGAGTCCTGTGGGCGGGACCCTCTGGAGGCGGGAGCACGTTTCAGTCGCGGCGTCCGCAGAGGGGGCCTCCTGGGCTTCTGGTCCCCACGCCCCGTCCACCGCAGGCCCTGCCTCTCACCTCGACCCCGGCCCCTGCCCCACGCCTGCCACCTGGATTGACTTTGTTCAATTAGTTAAAAATGTGATTACAGGAAGGCTTTCACAAGGTGTGGAATTAAAACCTTAGAGATGCTTATGAAGAAGCCTCGCCTGCCCAGGAGTGACCATTCTGAGCTGTAGCGTTCCCTCCTGGCTCTTCCTCCATGACTGTAAATACCACGACGCCCAGAGAGCTCTGTACTTAGGGACGTAAAACACTTGTTCCGGTTGAGGGCTCAGGTCTCTCCTGCCACCCTCGCCCCACGGCTTTCCTGGGGCAGGCCCCCCCCTCACGCCCCCCGCCCTCCCCAGCCCTCATGGACGCGATGCTTGGGGCCTGCGTTGCGCCGGGCGCTGCGACCGTTGTTCTGGACAGTGTGGTCGACTCGCTTCCAGTGTAGTTATCTCATTGGTTTAACTTTCCTTTTAAGTTCTTTTCTGTCTCTCCTTCTCCTTGTCGCTCTCTTAAACAAACACTTTATCAACAGCTTCCAAACCCCCATCATGGTGTTTTTAGGCGCCTCTGTGTGTCGGATTCTGATCCAGTCCAATGGCACCGGCGCCCCACTGTCCCCAGCCTGATGGCAGCCCGGGTCCCCTGGAGTCCCACGTCCTGGGACGTTGAAGCTGTCGTCCTGTCGTTTTCTGCGATCCGCTGTCGCTGCCAGAGGACGAGCACGTCCTGTTGTGGGATTCGGGTTCAGGGTGTCTCTGAGGGACTCGCCCCGTCGCGGATCTGACCTGGACAGTGTGATGCTTGTGGTGGCCTCTCCCTGCTGTGCTGTCCTGTCTCCTCTCTGCTTTGCTTGTTTCCTTCTACTTTCTGGGTGACCGCCTCAACTTTCTTCCCCCAGTCCTTCTGTTTCCTGCATCACGTTCTTCGTGGAGACATTTCTTTTCTCACAGCGTACTTGCCAGCAGCTGTGACCAGTGGTCCCCGCTGTGGGGAGCCAGGAGTGGGGCTGGGAGCGCTGTCTTTCGTGGGATTGACTCCGGAGGGGAGCCCTTTGGGCCGTCATGGCCGGTATCTGGGGGCAGGAAGGGGCAGGAACCGCCTCCTGAGCTGTCCTCGTCCCGTAGGCCCTGGTGCCCGGGGCCGCCGTGCTTGGCTTTCCTGGGGGGCTGGCCACGGGGCGGTGGGGAGGTTGGAGGGGGGCAGGAGGCAGGGTCCGCGGGAGGCCTTGGGCTGGGGGGGGTGGGTGACCTCCGCTCCCACAGGCTGGTTACAGGCCCCCAGACCCTTTTCAAGCTCCCAAGGTGAATCGTGGCCTCTGCTGTGTCTCCCGCCCCGTTCGTTCTCCCTGTGGCCGCCACCTCCTTCACCTGTGTTCGCCGGGCTGTCGGGGGTGTGGGGGGGAGGGATGGGAGCAGGTGCGCTGGGCTCCGAGGTTTCTTCTGCCAGGTTGGTTCAGACCGGCCCCCTATCTTCAGGGGTCTCCACTTTAGGTGAGGAGGGTCTGGATGTGGGGTACCCACATCGGGTGGGCCTGCTCCCCGGCGCTGTGACCTTGAGGCAAGTTGTTTGGCCTCCCGGAGCCCCCGCTGCCGTTTGTTTGTCTCTAATCGCTGGTGATCGGGGCTCGGGTCTGACAGGAGGGCGTCAGGGTGGCTGGGCGGCAGGCTGGTCCAGTGACCATCCCGCCTTCCCAGGTGCAGCAGAGCTCAGGCCCGGGCATGCGAGACCCCCCGTCCAGGCACAGGAAGCAGGCGAGGAGCCTCAGAGCCAATTTCTGCTCGGGGGTCGGCCACGTCCATGGCCGTGGGCAACACATAGCACATCTTTCTCGGGCGTACCTCTCCCTGGTGGAAAGCCATGGAAAATATTGCTGGGGTGGGACAGAAAACTAGCTCTCATCTGAGATGTAAAAGGAGAATCTTCACTTAGATCGTCACCCAGTGCCGGAGGCTGGAGGTGCAAAGTAAAGATCAGACTCCGGGCTCCTGCAAGGAGTAATTAACAGAAATGCACACTCTAGTTGTAAAAATTCCATAAATCGAGCACAGATGCTTAGCAAGTGGATCTCTGTGAGGTCTGTGCTGAGTGGTGGAATTTCCAAGATGAACCGGCTAAGTCTCCTAGTGTCAGAGGAACTAAACTCTGGTTGGAGGTGGAAGATGGTGTCAAGATTAATTTATTTGCAGGTGAGTTGAGAATGGTCAGGGGAATTCTGAGTCCTCCTGGCTTTTGGGTGATAGCTGTTCTCTCTTCTCCTTTCCACCTGCAGTGCTAGTCACCATCAACTTACAGTCACAAAACGAGCTGCAGTTTTTAACCACCTTTCTGCTGAGTGTCCAGGTGAGTCAGGAGGTGAGCTGAGCCGAGCCTGGGTGTCAGGAGCTTAGCTGGGCCAGGGGGCCTCTGGGCCCAGCCTTGCAGCTCTCAGCCCCCCTTCCCCCTGCACGGCCCATGCCGCACCCACGTGGCCTGCCCCTGGCGACGGAAGCGGTGTGACGGTTGCTCTGAGGGGTCGCTGTGTCAGCTGGTGCTTGGAGGTGGTTTCCAGCTCCTGAGAAGGGGCCCTTTCTGAAGCTGTAGGCGGGTGTGCTCACAGAGGCCTCTTTACTAGAGTTCTGTGGACTCGGCTGGCCCCAGATGGGCTCAGTGTGGGCCCTGGGGATCGAGGGGAGAGACACGTCCCTGCCCTGTGTCTGACCTTCACTGGTCAGGCTGCTCTGGGCCCAGGACTGCTGTCACCTGCCAGACGGGGGCCTGGTCCGCCCAGGCCAGAGGAGAGAGGCGCGTCGGATGTATCTCAGCATCCATGGGGCTGGTGGGAACTTGCAGTGAAGTCCTGTTTTGTTGATTTCTCCTCTCCCCTAAGGGGAGAGAAGGTCCAGCTGAGGCAGCCCATTGGCAGCATGGAGGCCGCCTTCACCCTGTGTTGTGTACGGGGCCTGGATGCCGCCCTGAGGCCTGTACCCGGCAGGGATGTTGGAGGGTTCGCTCCCCCCACCCCGAGAATAGATGCCGGCGGGGGTGCTGGGGTGCCTCCCGTTCCAGCTACTCCTTTTTTAGAGCAGAGGTGGCGTCCAGAGGCTCGGCCGCAGGAGGCCCCCAGGGCAGTGTGAAGCCCCCAGGGCTGAGGGCCACCATGTGCTGCTTAGAGGGACGGGAAGGGGGTGCCCAGGAGGAAGCAGGATGGGGGGGCCTGGCGGGCTGCTCAGCAGACTGGGGGCGACAGCGTGCAGGTGGGTACAGGCCCAGCCCCCTCCCTCCTTCCCGCGCCCTGTACCGTGCTTGCTGGGCGTGGGTCCGCGACCACAGGGTCTCTGCCCTCGGGGAGTTTGTGACCCACTTGGAAGAGACGTGTTAGGTACGTAGTTGCCCAGGATCTGAGGAGGGTCGTCCTTGATGTTGTCCAGGACAAGGACGGTGCTGTGACCCTCAGCTTCTCTTCCCTCTTCTGTGAAGTGGGGATAGTGCTGGCACCTACTCGTAGGGCTGTATGAGGGTCAAAGGGATGATGTTTGGAGAGCCCCCAGAACACCCATGCTCCCCACGGGCGCCTGCAGAGTCGTCCGTGGAGAGGTGGCCCCAGGCTGGCTGGCCTGTCCATAGCGCCCGTGGCCACCGGCCTCTCTCCCGCTGCTCAGCCACGTGTTTTCCTCCAAGAAGGGGCCGTGGACTTGTCCCTGTTCAGATCAGAGGCCCCTGCAGATGGTCACTGGTGGCCCTGCTCCGCTTCACTCAGGGTGTCCGGCTGCGCCTTGCCGGCCCGGCCCGTGTCCAGTGACGGGAGCCTGGATGCGGGTGTCTCTGGGCGCTTCCCAGGGCCAGGCAGCGTGTGCTGAGGGCTCCAGGTGCCTCATCTCATGTGACTGTCCCAGTAGCCACGTGACTGGCCTCCGTGTAGCCGTTTTACAGTTGAGGACACAGACTCCAGGACGGTGTCCCCCGGCAGTGGCAGGTCAGGGCACGTAGCACAGGCGGTGCCGAGCCAGCCCTGAGCCACGGTGACCTGGGCCGTTTGGTGGACGGCTCAGCCCAGCCCTCAGGTGGGCCCCTCCTGGCACTGGAGGCTGCTGACCTGTGTGATGTAGTGACCCAAATGTGGTACGAGTGTCCCCTCGGGAGGTAGGCAGCCCTAAGAAAACCAAGCCCCGGGCCTTGCTAGAAAATCGCCGTGACTTACGTGGCCTCTCCCATGGCGTGTTTGGGACCTTCTGCTCAACAGACCCTGAATCTGCTGCCCCCTGGGTGGGGCGGTGATGCTCTGTGTGCCTTGGCCCCGGACGCCAGGCCGACAGCCACAGGGGGTGCTCGGGGCGGGAGGAAGGCTCTGTGGCGCGGAAGCTGCGGGGCCGCCGTTGGGGCAGCACCTCCCCTGCTGCTTCTGTGCACGTGGGCAGAGCGGAGCTGGGCCCGGGCATGGCTGCTGCGTCCTGGGGGCAGTCTTGTGCAGCTTCAGGGTGCCGAAGCAGTGTTAGACCTTCGAGCGTCCTGGCCGAGGCTGGGGGACCGGGCTGCAGAGCCCGCACTGTGGTAGCTGGAACGCTCTCATGTTCTGGTCCAGTTTTGCATACTTCTGTTGAAACCAAGCTAGACCCGGGAGCGGGGCCGCTGCATAGCCCCCTGACTCCTCCGGCCAGACGGACGCAGCATCTGAGGGTCTGTGTCCATGGTGTGGCTCTCAGAGATGGGGTTTCCCCAATAGAACATCCTCCTGCCCTGAAGAGGACGCACGGGGCTTGATCAGCAAGCCACTGTCAGGACTCCAGGTCAGGTGCTGCGTTCTTGAGAAAGCTCACCTTGGGCAGGTCCCCGGGTTCCCCGCCAGCGCCGCACGCAGCACCGAAACCACATTAAGGCCTCGGGCCTGCCGTGCCCACTTTGGTAGCTCCATCCACCCCCTGCCACGTGGCGGCCGCATGTGGAGGACGAGCCAGTGCGGGTGCATTGGGGGCTCCCCTGTGCTCTGCTGGCAGCGGCCTCGAAGGCCAGGTGTGCAGCCAGGGAAGGGTTGGGAGGACGGAGGTGCCGGCTAACTTCTCACTTTGTGGTGCGCAGGGCGTCCAGCCCAGGATGGTGATGGAGTGTTGGACGGGCTGGTGTGACTCGTGGGGCAGTCCCCACAGCATCCTGGATTCTGCAGGTGGGTGCTTGTGGGACCCCCGTCCAGCATGTGTGCTGGCCTCAGACGCAGGAATAAGTTCCAAATAAGGTGCTAATCCATGTGAATTAGCTGAGGGTGTGGGGCTCTGGGAGTCTCTGCGTGGACAGTCAGCCCTGAGTGTCCAGAGCTGTTTGTCTTGACAGGGGACACGAGCGGTCAGACACGGCTTTGGGGTGTCTCTATAATTGCTCTGGAGTAATGCATGCCAATCGCAAACGTCTAGCCAATGCAGGACGTGTATAAAGGAGAAATAAAAACCCCGGAGCCCAGAGCAGACGTTTTGATGTGTGTAGTGTGGGCACCCTCTGTCTCTCTGTCTGCCGCCCCGGGTGTACGTGCAGGTAGAGGTGTGGGCAGGTGAGGGTGTGTCTGCTCCACCTGCCTGTTCCAGTGAGACACGCGGAAGCCCAGCTGCCTACACTGTGAGGTGTGGATTCCAGCCCTGTTCTAGAGAATGCAGAGAACCCCGTTGGGCTGGTGTCGTACCCACGATCGCTTATTGATGAGGACCTGGGTGCTTCCAGGGTCTGTGTTCACGGACCCCGTGCAGCGGGCGATCCTGCGCGTCAGTTTGGCTCACCTGGCGTGTTTCCCTGCGATAAGTTCCCGGCAGTAGCCCTTCTTCCTCCACGCGGGTTTGATCTGTGTTAACTAAACTGCCCTCCAGGAAGAGGACGATGCTCCCTCCCCTGTTACACGAGATGCCCATCCCCTCAGGTTCATCAACGCCAAGTGTTAAATGATTCCCCTCAGGTTCATCAACGCCGAGTGTTAAATGATGTCAGCGTTTGCTGTCTGATAGGTCCTTGTGTAGGTCTCATTTCTTTGATCAATGCCGGGGTTTTAAACTCTGTATAGATATTTATTAACCATTCATATTCCTCCTCCGCTGTTTCTGTCTGTGTCATGGGCTCATTTTCCAGTCCAGGTGGGGCAAGGAGGTGGTCAGAACCGTGTCTCTAATTAGGTCTCGCTAACTGAGCCAGGTGGGCCTGAGCCGCAGCCCGTGTGAGGTGCAGACTCGCCTGGGACTTGAAAGCAGCTGGAAGCCGGGCTCTGGGGCCGGGGTCCCGTCCTCCCGCCATGCACTGCGGTTGGGTTTAGGGAGACCTAAGGACGGAGCTGTGAGGGGGACCCTGAGCGGGGACCGGGCTCACGGCGTCCCAGGCGCCAGCTCTGTGCACCCTTCTCCTCCCACGGAGGGTTTGAAAACCGTGTCGGCCATCATCAACGCTGGCTCATCCGCCAACCTGTCCATGTTCCACGGTGGCACCAACTTCGGCTTCATCGGTGGAGCCGTGCACTTCCAGGACTATAAGTCCGATGTCACCAGCTACGGCAAGTACCCCTGACGTGGCGCCCCACGCCCGTGCCTGGGCTCTCGCGGGGCATCCCTCGGGGACAGCGGCTGGCACCTCTAATGTGAAGGCAAGGTTTTGTCCGTCACTTTTAAGCTGCCAGGGCCGTAGGCGACAAGCCAGCTGACGTGCCTGGGCCTTTGGATGCCAGCTGGGGAGGGGAGGGGGGCCCAGGCCGGGAGGGAAGGCCCTCAGGTGGGGGTAGCCCCTCCCCTCCTCAGGGCTTTGGGATGAGGTCACCCTGGCCCCTTGCCTGGAATGTAGGGTCTGGGCAGTTTGGGGGCATTCGGTAGTGTCTAGCGCGTGTGGTATTTTGACTGACAGCTCACATCAAGTGTTCTGCCTCCCGAATTGCTGGGGCGAGGACGCTGCTGCCCCACCAGCTCCTCCTGTCTCTCTTTGCCTCCACAATGCTGTCCTGGGGGCTGAGGCCTGTGACACGGCTAGTGTCTTGCAGACTATGATGCGGTGCTGACGGAGGCCGGGGATTACACGGCCAAGTACACAGGGCTCCGGGAGTTCTTCGGCTCTGTCTCAGGTAGTTGCACGCGCAGGCGCAGGCACAGGCCCAGCTGGGCACCGGCTGGCTGTTGCTCTGAGACCCCAGGAGACTTGCTTCTTCTGCCCCCAACCCCTCACCCCCCGCCTCAGCCCCAGGTGATGCATGTGCAGGAACGAGGACGGGCAGGTCTGAGCGACTGTTCTCATCCCAGTTGGGGTCTTGCCGCTTCACTTTCTCCTGGGTGTCAAGGTTCCTGAGTTTGTGAGCAAGCCCCTGCCTACCTGCCTCCTGGCCTCGTCTTCCTGGCGGGGTCTCGGCGGGCTGGGAAGGGCCTGTTCTGCTGGGCTGGGGCAGGAGCTGGGGCCGGGGGGGGTGGCGCTGGAGGCACGACTGTTGGGGTCCTTTGGGGACGGCTCTGCCGTCTGCTTGTGTTGCAGGGCCCCCGCTTCCTGCCCCACCTGACCTTCTTCCCAAGACGGCATGTGAGCCAGTGATGCCAGCTTTATACCTGTCCCTGTGGGACGCCCTGCCCTACCTGGAGGAGGTGCGTGCTGCTGGCGGAACGGGCTGGCCCAGAGGAAGCGCCACCGCCTTGGGCTCCACTCCCCAACCTTAGAGCTCAGAGGAAAGAGGACAAACGCACGTGGGGGAGAAGCAGGAGGGACGAAGGGAACCAGAGGAGGAGCTGGTAGCACAGCGGGCAGTAGGCAGAGAGGAGGGAGGAGGCTGGGCGCATTCCCCAGCGCCAGCTCAGGGCTGCCGTGGTGCAGAGATGACACTGGTCACAAAGCGCCGAGGCTACCGTGCGTAGCCTGCCTTCTCTCCTTATCACGTGCCCTCCGTCGCTGTCCCCGAGAACCTGGAGAGCCTTGCAGACTGTGACGAGAAACCAAATTCAGGATTGTGGAGCTTGACTGTGTAATAGAAGTCAAATAGAGAAAACGTTCCCCCCCCGCGTGCTGACCCCCGTGGGGGCTGCCGGCTCCCCGCGCCCCCAGAAGGCGAGGCCGCCTCTCTGTGCTGAGCCTCTGCCTCCCGTCTCGTGTCTGTGCAGCCGGTCACCTCGGAGAAGCCGGTCAACATGGAGAACCTCCCGATAAATGGGGGAAACGGGCAGTCTTTTGGGTACACGCTGTATGAGACCACCATCACCTCTGCTGGCATCCTCAGTGCCTATGTGTGGGACCAGGGACAGGTAGGGGCGACCCTCTGAACCGCCGTGACCCACCGCACAACAGACCCCTCCCCTGAGGCTCTCATGTGCAGCACCCGTGTGCGGAGATGGCCCATCCCCGCCAGCCGTGCTGCCCACTGGAACCTGGGGCCTTCGTTTCCCCCCGGCCCCTGTACCATCACCTCTGAGCGCTCGGCAGGGACCCCCACGCCTCCCCCCTGCTGACACGGGGGGGTCTTGTCTGCTCCTCTGGCCGGTGTTTGTGAACACGGTCTCCATAGGGTTCCTGGACTATAAGAGGGAGAAGGTTGTCATCCCCTCGATCCAGGTTTGTCCCCGGGGTTGGGAGGCTGGTGCCAGGCGCCTCCTGGGCAGGTGTGGCGGGAGGCCCGGAGGGAGGCCTGGACGAGGGGCTGCTCAGCCGCAGAGCTGGGGGTGGGCATGGCTTTCTGATGAGCAGGGACCCCCATCCTGTCCTCAGAGTTCAGGGAGGACTGGGCTCCACAGCTGTGAGCCGGTGGTTGGGAATCAGGCTTCGTCAGCGCCCTCTGCTCCCAGCAGGGGTTCACGATGCTGAGGATCTTGGTGGAGCATCGCGGGCGAGTCAACTACGGGACTAATATTGACGATCAGCGCAAAGGTGGGTCACAGCACACGCGTGGCTGTCCCTTCTCCACAGCAGCACCTGCAGGTCATGGAGGCTGATGCTATAGGTGGGGCCATGGGGGCCCATCGCGGGGAGGTGGGTCCTGGAGGCCCCTTGGAGGGAGGTGGGGTCATGGAGGCCACCGGAGGGAGGTGGGTCCCGGAGGCCACTGGATGGAGGTGGGTCCCGGAGGCCAGTGGACGGAGGTGGGTCCCGGAGGCCAGTGGACGGATGTGGGGTCATGGAGGCTCCTGGAGGGAGGTGGGGTCATAGAGGCCACTGGACGGATGTGGGGTCATGGAGGCCCCTGGAGGGAGGTGGGTCCCGGAGGCCCCTTGGAGGGAGGTGGCGTAGGACCCGTGCCTTCTTGGTTCTTCACACTGAGTTTCTTTTTGATCCACCTTGGAAACCTCTGGGTGACCTCCTTTGTGGTGGGGAGGAGGGTACAGGACGTACGTGAACAGCATGCTCTTGGTGGCCCTCCCCGCGGGAATATCCCACCGGGCTCTCTAAACCTCTGCTTGAACTTGCCTCTTTCTCATCATTTATCAAAATGTGGGTGGTTTTATGTAAGTTAGGAAATAGGACCTCGGACAATAAATCCTACCCTGGAGCAAGCCTGGTGGCCTCCTAGCTCTCGTGGCTGTTTGCTTTTGTCACCTCGGGGAAGTGCTGTGGCCCAGCCCCGGGGACTTCCTGTGTCCTGGGGATGTGCCCCTCCAGAAGGGCCTCGGTGTGCTTCCCCTCCCCTCCGCTCCCCCCCCCGAAAGCCCCCCGAGTTCCTCCCTAGGTCTCAGCTTCTTCCCTTAGGAGCTCGTGGTGCTGGCCGCCCTCACTTCCTCTGTTCTCCTGGGGGCAGAGAGCATGGCAGCCTGCCCAGTCGCAGGCCCTGCCGGGGGTATGCAGTCCTGTCCTCTGGAAGGGTTCAGTGTTCACAAGTCACAGACCTCCTGTCCAGAGCCGTGTGCACCCCCTACACCTGCACCTGCAGTTGAGGAGGGTCTGCAGCCCTCTGAACACCCGCAGCCTGTCTGGGTTCCCAATCTGGCGACTCAGCAGCTCTGTGACTGAGAGGATGCAGGACACCCAGTGGAACCCACCCCGAGGTGCTGGGAAGTCACTGTTCAAGTGTGTGCAGTGCCTTAGCCTTGGGCATCCTGGCCACGGTGCTGTCTGTTCACAATTTAAATACTTGAAAAAAAACCTTTAATGCTGGCTTGTGTAGAAGATTTCTGGCTGAGTTACTAGGTCTGTTTCGTCTGGGACTCCACTGAACAAACCTCGAAGCTAGGCTGGAGCCACTGTGACCTCTTGGAGGACTCCTTTCATGGTGTTGGAATTCTCAGCCCCCAAAAGGGAGCGTCCCCCTCCCAGGGGCCGGAGGCCGACACTGCCCTCGGGCGCCTCCTTCCCTGCACACTAGGGCCTGGCAGGTGCTGCTGTCACTTGCTCTCATGGCTTTGGGGCTGCAGGGAAAGGTTTTATGCGTGCAAAGAGCCCCCTAGGGGTGCTGGCCCTTCAGCAGGAGTCCTTTGTTGAACCTTCCAGAAACGTTCTGTGTATGTGCCCAGCCGGCGGGTCAGCCGTCCCCCCACCGTCGGCCTCGCTCAGTGTCTCTGCCTCGTCCCCACAGGTTTAATCGGAAATATCTATCTGAATGATTCTCCCCTGAAAAAGTTCAAAATCTACAGCCTGGATATGAAGAAGAGCTTCTTTCAGAGGTGGGTCCTGCCCTGCACAGCGTGGGAGCAGCTGGACGGCCTGCAGGAGAGCCAGGAGGCCCGAGGCTGCCCCAGGCTTGGTGCCCGCCCCACACCCCTCCGCCACGGCCTGAGAACCGGAGCCCGAGCGCTCCCCTGCTCCTCCGCCCGGCTGCCACTGCTGTGCCGGTTCACAGTGCGGGAAGGACCTGAGAAGGCGCCCCCCACCCCTCATCTTCTGTCCTGCCCATAGGTTCCACGCAGACAAGTGGAACCCTGTCCCTGACGTGCCCGTGTTCCCTGCTTTCTTCTTGGGGCCGCTGGTGGCCTCCCTCTCCCCCTGTGACACCTTTGTGAAGCTGGAGGTTTGTAGCCCCGCCTGCCAGGTGCTCTGGGCTCCGCTCCTTGGGCCCCCAGCCTGGTGCTTGGCCTCCTGGAGCCCCCCTACCACGTGTGCCCGGAGGGTCTCCGTCGTGGCCTCCCTGGGTGGGGGTGGGATCAGAGCAGAGGGACCACCTGGTCGGCTTCTCAGGTCCGGGCTCCGGTGGTCCGGGTGCCCTGCCGGGACTGAGCGCTAGAGGGAACGGGCTCTGGCGCTTCCCTCCCGGTACCGAGCGGCTGTTGGAACGAGTCTGGTCCCTGGGAAGCTGAGAGGAGAGCTCAGGGCCTGTGTGCGCCTCTGCCTCCCGTGTGACTCTACGTTCGGTGGTTTGTGTGGTCAACTAACACCTCCCCTCCTCTGCTTAAAGGGCTGGGAGAAGGGGGTTGTATTCATCGACGGCCAAAACCTTGGACGCTCCTGGAACATCGGGCCCCAGGAGACCCTCTACCTCCCAGGTGCCTGGTTGGACCAAGGCCTCAACCAGGTGGGAGCACTTTTCCTGGGACCCCTTCTCATCCCTGCCCTCCCTGTCTCACGGTGTTTCTCCGGGGGCCCTTGGTGGGCAGGAGAGGACAGAAGTTCTGACGGGCCCGATCTGGCTCCGAGACAGACTGGCCGTGTCCCCAGGTCATTGTCTTCGAGGAGAAGAGGGCAGGTCCGGTGATACAGTTCACGGAAATGCCCTGCCTGGGCCGGCACCAGTACCTGAACTGAGCAGCCCCCAGGCCTCCTGGCAGGGCAACAGCAGGCCCTCCTGCCCACGGCTGCAGTCCAGACCCTCCCCTGCACAACCGGAGAAGCAGGTTGGGGGCGAGGGAGGGCCCCTCCCCGAAGAGCTTCCCGGCTCTGTGGCTGCTGCCGTCCACCTTCACTGCTCCCGCGGGCGGGATGGGGGGTCTGGCTGGGACTGTCCCCTGTGGGGGTGAGTGGGGCACAGCTCCTGGACAGTCTGCTCGGAGTGTCCCCGTGGGCCCTGTTTCTGAGCCGGGGGGCGCGTCACCATTTGTGGAGGGTGGGGGCACCTGGGCCAGCCTTCTCCGCCATCCAGGGAGGAAGTCGGTGCGGTGGAGGGACCCCGGCCCCCTTCCACCCCGCTTGGATCGCCTCTGACGGTCAGGAATGCTGGGCCTTACCTCCCAAGACAGCATGTTTCCCTCTCATTCCACGAGGGGCAGTGCCAGCCCAGGAGGAGAGGCAGCTGCTCCGGAGGGTCCAGGAGGCTGTGGGCAGAAGGTGCGGTTGCAGGGGCCTGGGCAGGAGTATTGGGGTCCCGGGGCCCCCGCCCTGGGCCAGGCGGCGGGCCAGGGGCAGCCTTCCTTCCAGTTGTCCGTCCAGACCCCAGACAATCCCCCACGGGATGAGTCCCGTGTTAGGGCTCAGGTTCGCTGCCTTGAATTGCGGTAAAGCCACAGAGTTGCATCTCATCCTCCTTGGTGGTGTTTCTCTGACCCCGCTTGTGCCGGGCACACGCTAGCCCGGCCGTCGCCGTGTCGACGAAGACTCGGCTGTTGTGGTGTGGTGGGCAGGGTGGGGCCGTGTTGGGTGGCCAGGAGCGGCATGTGCGCTGGCCACAGTGCTGAGTCTGCCTCCCCAGCGACGTCTGGATCCTCCTGCCACAAACGGACGATCTCCATTCATAGTCCAAGTGGAAGAGCGGATTCCTCCGGGAGTGGGGACCGGGTGGGGAACAGCAGGCTGAGAGCCTCCCAGCAGCGCCCTCCTCCCCACGGCCGGGAGCCCGTGCTTGGCTCAGGAGGGGTCTGCACGGGGGCAGTGGTGCGCAGCCCCTGGGCCCAAAGAGTGGAGCCGGGTCAAGGGCAGACGGTCACAGGGGGCTGGGCCCAAGGGTCCCGCTGGGGGCAGAGAAGTGGAGCTTATTGAAGTGAACTTGGTGGACCATGGCTGGGGGTCCCAGTCCCTGATCTCGTCCAAACTCACCAGCTCTTCCTGTGCCGCCTTGAACAGGGAGCCCGGGGCTGGGTGGTGAGAGCGGGCTCTGTGGACGGGGCCAGCCTGGGCGCTGAGCCACCCTGCCTGACTTATGCCGCGTCCCATGAAGCGCGTGGGGGGCTTCCGCCGGGGAGTGTGCACGGAGCTTGGGTTTGGAAGACTCAGGGTGACGCCGTCTATGTGATGAAGAGTCCCCTGGCATTGCTTTTCCGCACCCACGTGCTCGCAGACGTGCGGCCCTTCCTGGGTGAGGTCCCTGGGCCAACCTGCCTGCCCAGTGACCCCAGCTTCCTGTCCAAGCACCTTGGCAGGCAATGCCCTCCTCGTCACCCCGGCCTCCAGGTGCTGGGCATCTCATGCTGCTCCCAGGCCGCCTCTGCCCTCACTCGGTGTGGAGGCCTCGCCCACGGGCCTTGACAGCAGTCTCCACACTCGTTCTCTCCCACGTTCATCCCCGTCGGGGCTCCAGGCACCACTGTCCACTCACCTCTCCTGTGAGTGTAACAAGCACATGACCCCAAACTTACTGTCACGTTGTCCCCTGCAGTCTGCCCGGAGCAGTGGACACAGTTCTGTTCTGTCTTGGGAACTCGTGGCTGTACTTGCACCTCACGTCCAGCCCATCAGCAAATTCCTGACCCGTGTCCAGAGCCCGCCCGCTGCCCTCTCGTCAGGGCTGCGCCTCGTCCGACTCACCGTTGTCTCGGGCCACCTGCCCGTGTCCTGTTTGTTGGCAATACAGGAAGCGAGCGCTTCTTCTAAAAGGCCGGTTAGACTGGGTCCGTCCTCTGCTGCAAACCCTCCGACAGCCTCTGTTTCACTCCCTAGCTGCAAGCTTCGCCCTGGTTCTGGAGCAGAGTGTCTGTGCCCCCTGCTCCCACGTGTGACCCACCCCCCACCCCCAGAGAGCTGCCCTCAGTGGCCTGTTAGCTAAGCGCTCTCCCGCGGGGGGAGCTTCTCTTTCCTGGACCCAGTTCTCCGCACGTCGGCTCGGAGGCCACCTGGCCAGGGGGGCCTTTCTGACGGCCCAGGTGGGATGCCAGCACCTCCCCAGCTGCACTCCGCCCCGCTTGCCTCATCCGTCACCTTGGAACTGATGACGGTTGTCGGAGCACCCTGGCCCCGAGCATCTGTGTCCTCTCCGGAGAAGGCAGCCCTGGGCAGGCAGAGCTCTGGCTTCCACGGCCCTGTGCTGTGCCAGGAACGAGGTGTGTCCCCCCAAGGCACCTGATAGTACAGGTTGGACGGTTAAATGAATGAGGAAAACTAAGACAGGGCTGAGGAGGATTAAGACTGTTAAAAACCATATTTGACTTTTAATTTCAAAACAAATTAAATACAGTTAAATTAAAACAGACCCGATAGTGCAGCTTGGGGGCTCCACCTTCCCCGTCTCTGTCCTCCGGCCCCCACCCCACTCCTGTACAGGGGGGAGCAGGGAACACACTGCGTTTGGAAAACAAACTAGCCATGGACCCAGTTCTGATTCATAGCAAACTCATTCCCAGTGAAGGCGAAAGCTGCAGTCCATCGGGTTGTAATTATAAATAAACACACGTGCAGCTAAGAGAGGGTATTAGGTGAAAACAATAGAAACACCATCTGCCAAAGAAAAGAGGAGACCATGTTGTCGTTACCAAGTTTCCTGAAACGAACCCTGGGTTCCGGGCCAAGGCGGCCCGAGCCCAGCCAAGCCGCCCCTGCGTTTGGGGCTGGTCCCGGCGAGTGAGGCAGAGTAGTGCCCTGCATGAGTTCACTCGCTCGACGGTGCCCGCCCTCGCCCACCCTCCCTTCCCCCGCCACCCAGGTGGTTCCCAGGTGGTTCTCAGGCAACCATGGGTGTGGGACGTCCTGCAGGTGGCTCAGGGCCCTCAGGGACATGAGCCCTCCCTCGAAGGTTTCGTGACTATGCTGAGGAGTTAAATCCACTTCAAAAACAGGCAGCCGATACTCCGTGAATGTTAGGTCGCTGGGCTGCGGCCCACTGCCCACCCACCCATGCACCCAGGAGTGGGCTCTCCATGGCCCGCAGACCCATCCCATGAGTCTAAGTGGAGTAGGGGCTATTAGCGGTTAAAAGTAAACACCTGTTCAGCGGGCTCAGGCCCTTCCTCTGCCTCCACAGGGGAGGAAAATTGTGCTTCCAACGCTCAGGAGTGTGAGTGGAGACCGGCAGAGGGCCGGCCCCGTCGGGAAGCCAGGGAGACAGGCACCTCTCCTCCTGGCTGAGGGCCGCACACGGTTCCTTGTCTGGGGCGGCCGGGCGGCCGGACGTGAGGCCGGCTTGCTCTTCGCGCCCCCAGTTTAGGGAGAAGGGAGGTTTTACTTCCCACTCGGTGTGTAAATCGCATGGTTTCCAAAGCAGTGTGTGCTCAGGTATCCTGCCCTCGGGGTTCAGATCATCTCTGCCCCCTTCCTTAAACCCCTCTACTAATCCGGAGTCCCCCAGCCAGGGGCAGGGAGGAGCCCTGGGACCGCCCGGGCCCCTCCTCTCTCCTCCTGGCCCACCTGCTCCCTTGAGCCCCTGAGGCCTGTGGTTCTCATGGCTCTGGGTTGGGGGCTCCTGCTTCCCCAGTCCCAGCCCAGGCGAGGGGCCCGGAGCCCAGTGGGCGTTGGGGAGGTGCCGTGTGGTCTATACCCTGTGCTGGGTGGAGGGCCCACCTCCTTCCTTGCGCTGGGACAAGAGCCAGGGAGGGCGCTCTGCTCCCTCCACGAGGTTGAGGTATGGGGAGAGCAGCCCTCTGGCAGCCTGACTCCCCGCGCACAGGGCTGGCCGCCTGCCGGGAGCACAGACAGCCTTACGCTCCGCAAGCAGGAGCCAGAGGAAAGCGGGCCGGAGGGGCTGCATCTCCTCGGAGCAGCTCGTTCCTGATGCCGGGGGTGGGGGCTGCTTGCCGTCTTTCGCAGTCCCTGGCCAGGTGTCCTGTGTGGTCGTGGGGCCTCGAGGGGGAGCTGGGGAGCCCTCTGCTGGACTGCTGGGGTCTTTCGCCCCCTCCCAGCCTGGCATCACTCCCGGGCTTGGGGCCCAAGGTGTCTGCCCCGGCCGGCCCTGCCAGGGCAGATGGAACAGAACAACAGGTCTGGGTTTTCTGTGCTTTAGGGTCTCCGTCCTTTGTCCTGGCATCAGGCTGGTCTCTCTGAAGGCCCCAGAGTAGAAAGGAGGGTGACGGCGATTCCACAGGAGTCCGCCTCGGAGGGACCACCCGCGTGGGGAGCACAGGTGGCCAGGAGCAGGTCTGAGAAGAGGGCTCCTGTGACGGGGAGAAGAATGGGGGAGGCGTGAGGGAGCCGCTGGATCCTGGGCCCCTGAAGCGTCACCCAGGGGCTCCGCAGAACCCACCCCCGGGTCCCACTGAGAGGCCGGGAGCGGGAGAGGCAGGGAGTGATGCTCTGTCCCGACACAGTCTCAGTGGCAGCGACTGAGGTGATTTTCTAAGTTCAGGGGACAAGATAAGCAGACCCCCTGCGGTCCCCTGTGGGCAGGGCCATTGCCCAGGTGATACAGAAGCTTCAGCCTGACTCCAAGGCCAGAGGACAGAGGTGTGTCCCACTGTCTGAGCTCCCACCTCTGATGAGATCACAGAGAAGCTCATAGAAAATTCCTGGCTTTGCCAATCACCTGGCACAATTCACTTCAGCTTTACTCCACCTCATTCCTTTGCCTCTAAAACACAGATGGAGCCTGTGACCTACAGCAATACAGGGTTTTAACCAAATAAAGGGACTTCTCCAGAGGTCCAGTGGTTAGGACTCTGCGCTCCACTGCAGGGGGCATAGGTTCGATCCCTGGTTGGAGAACTAAGATCCTGCATGCTGCGTGGCTTGGCCAAAAAGAATCAAACAAATAAAAATAGCAACACTTAGGCAGGACTTATTATGTGCCAGACTGTTCCTGGTGCCTCAACAACCCATTCTGCAGATGAAGAAACTGAGGCCTACAGAAAGAAAGGTCAAACCGAGGAAAGTGGTAGCTTGGGAGTCAGGCAAGGCTCCTCGGTCCACGCTTTCACCAGGACGGAGGAGGCACCTGCAGGAGACAGAGCCTGGGCGGGTCCACACAGCAGCGCCTCATAAGGGGACCGGCTGGTGGCCAGGATAACAGTGGTGATGACAGGGAGCTGTCACCAGGCGGTGCCTGGAAGGTGAGGCCTTCCAAGCAGCTGGTGGAAGAACCACCCAGCCACGGGGGGAGGCTGGCTCCTGTCGACTTCAGCTATGCCTCCTTTACTCCACGGGGCATTTGCTCTGACCTTCACGATTAAAGACTAAGAGGAAAAGTCTTGGCAGATTTACTCTGCATCCAAGCTTGGGTGGCCCGCCCAGTGCGTCACCTGCCTGCATCCCCCTACCTGTGTCCTGGGGCTCAGATCTCCACCATGGGGTCAGTGAAGCCTTTTTTCCCCTCGTTCACCAGCACCGGCTTCTCAGTCCGTGTGTGCCAGACCAGGATCTGTGTGTTCAGAGACGTGAGACCACATGGGGCAGGCCCCTGACCTCGCCCTCCCACCCCTGCCCCCTCTCCTTCTGCCCTTGTTCCAGCAAGATTTTCTCCATTGTTCTTTATTTCTACCTACGCTCTCATTCTTGCTTTTTGTACATAGGCTGCATTCAAAATATCTGTTGGAAACAGAAAGTCTACAGCTACAGAAAAGAGACAAACAGGTCTCAAGGTTTCCTCTTGCTTCTCATCCTCCCCTGCATTTCTTGATGGGTCCAGAGGGAGAGAGAGTTCCGGGACCTTCAGCTCAGCTAAGTGACAGCCCAGGCCCTGGCTGGAGAAGTCCAAACTTGAAGCAGCGTGTGTGTGTGTGTGTGTGTGTATGCATGAACATATGTATACGTGTGCCTGTGTTGTGCATACGCACACCCATGTATGTTCCATGCATGCATGTGTGTATGCGTGCACATGCATATGTATGGTGTGCCCGTGTCTGTGCATGTGTGTGCACACATGGAGGTGTGTCTGGCAGGAGGGTCGTGGAGCCCAGCTGCTTCGATGTGAGGGAGGGATTCAGTCCTGGGCTCTGTCTCGCCGGTCGCCCCTCCCTGCTCCCCCACCTGCCATCACCGTGGCTCCTGAAGGGCGATAAGCTGCCGTCTTGGGAGGCTGGTTCTTCGCAGGCTGTCTGGGGCCCTATTTTCTTCTCCCTGATCTAGAGGGAGGGCTTTGTGGGCTGGAGAAAGCTTGCATTGCAGCTGTCAGCTCTGCTGAGGGGCTTACCTTGGTGCAGTTGGCCGCCTTGGGCTCCAGGTCACCGAGGGTGACAAGTTCTCGCAGGAGGCTGCTTTCCTGGTAGCCTCCTTTCACGCCGCGGAGCTTGAAGTAGGCCTGGCTTCGCTGCAGAATGAGCCGCAGGTTGACCGCAAACCCCGCCATGTCTATTGCAAACGGCCGGTGGGGGTCGAACACAGTCTTCCAGCCGACCACCTTCCCGGCCCCATTGACCCTCGGGGCCTCGTACCGAAGGCCGCCGACGAAGGCTACGGGCCACACGGACACCCGCCTGGTGCTGCGCATCTACAGAAGGAGAAGGGTCAGGGCGCCTGGGCGGGGATGGGAGTCGGGGCACCCGGGCTGCTCGGGGTGGGCATCTGCAGAGGAGCACGCCTGGGCTGTGGGCAAGGCCACCCCTCCAACCAGCTGATACTCGCCTTGTCACGTGACCTTCCCTCTTTGTCCTTTGCTGCAAAACTTCTGTCTCCCCAATTTAGAGTCTGAAATGACTCCTTCCCTTCCCCCAACACTGTCGTGACTCCCAGACCCGGAGGACACTCAGAGAGTCGACAAGGAACCCCCTTTCCCTGTCCCCCCACTGGAAGCCCTCACGCAGACAGTGCCCGGAAGCCAGGGCTGCGGCCAAGGCCGATCTCCTCCCCCTTCGCTAGCCGGGGCTGAAGGCCGCGCCGGGTCCGCACCCTCCCCGGGCCCCATATACGTCCACGAATCGCGCACCTCCTCGAAAACCTCCAAGCTGTAGGTGTTGTCGTCGTCCGCGAAGTACACGACGCCAGGCTGGCTGGAGTTGCGCGGGAAGGTCTCACGCAGCCAGCGCAGGGCCAGGTTGCGCTGCATGGTGCCCCGCGGGATGCGCGGGTCGCGCGCGTCCCCGCGCAGCTTGTAGTTGCGCGGCGTCTCCACGTGCAGGTGCGTGTAGTTGAGGCCGGTGTCGCGCAGGAGGCGCGCGGTCAGCGGCGTGCGGCGCGGTGCGTCCTCCACCACCAGCCAGTGCAGGTTGGGCACGTGCAGCAGTGTGTTGGCCAAGCGCGTCAGCTCAGCCTTCTGTACCGGGCGGCTGTAGGTGGGCGTCACCACGTGGATGGTGGGCAGCGTGTCGGACCAGGGCGGGGGCCGCGTGTACACGTACTCGGTGCGCACCACCTCCACGATGTCGCGGTCGGACATGCAGTACTCCCTGGGGTCCACGCCGGGTGGCGCCTCGCGTCGGGGATCGCTGCCGTCATCTGCGGGTTGGAGGGGGGGCGGTGTGGGCAGCTCCGCAGCAAGTACCTCGGCCCCCCCGCCCCATGCAGCTCTCCTCTGCTCCACCCGCGGGAACGTCAGCGCATCCCTGCCTGGGGCCCTGTGGGCTGAAGTTGGCGGTCAAGGCTGCTTGCCTGACATCCTCCTCTGGGTTCTGCTAGTTGTGACTCCCGAGATGACACAGAAATAACCTCTCCCTCCTTCTCGCATTTGACAGCTCTGTAGCTATTTGACGGCAACTGGCCAAATTCCAAGATTGCATCCGCGGTTCGGGTTTTATGTGACAAAGTGTCCTCTCCTTACCACCCTATACCCTTCACACCTGGCCAGAGCTGACTGCACTGCCTCGCACCGGCTGGGGCTGCAGAGCCCCGGGCACTGCCTCCCATGCCGGAGGGCAGCGTTAGTGCTGTCGTGGCTACAGCACACCGTGGACCCGGGAGTCTGCGGTTACCTCGCCCCGATTTTTCACAAACCCTGGAGTCAAGCGGGGCTTACTGAATCTTGGTGCAGAGTATCTGATACTTAACTACTGCATTTTCTTCTAGGGTGTTGCCCATAGCTGGCAAGATAATTCTGAACCCTGTGCCTGTCGTCGCTGACTTTATTCTCACATTTGTGCAAAGGGGCAGAGGGTGGAGACCCATCTCAGCTCTTCTGGGGTTTGGTGTCTGTCTCCTAATCTGCACTTTCCGGTCACACTCTTTCAGCCACCTGGAACCCTACCTGCCCCACACCCAGCCATGTGTGCCCATGTGTCCCCAAGGACCCCAGGAGAGTCGTGTGTGAAACCTGGCAGAGGCCTGGCCTCTGTGACACACTCACAGGGATGAGAGCCCCTCTCTCCGGAAAGCACCCTGCGCCCGCTGGGGCGGCTCTAATGACCAAGCTCTCTCTTGCATCCTGGACATTCTCCCCATGGGCAAAGCCAGCAGTCCTCTCATGAGGGGAAATCAGCCTATGGGTATTCTTTTTTTTTTTTTTTTTTTAAATGGTGTTGATTCATTTCTTTTTAAAAAAATTTTTACTTTAAAAAAATGTATTTATTTAGGCTGCGTTGGGTCTTTGTTGCTGGGCGCGGGCTTTCTCTAGTTGCAGTGAGCAGGGGCTACCCTTCATTGTGGTGTGTGGGCTTCTCATTGTGGTGGCTTCTCTTGTTGCCTAGCATGGGCTCTAGGGTGCTCAGGCTTCACTAGTTGTGGCATGCGGGCTCAGTGGTTGTGGCTTGCGGGCTCTAGAGCGCAGGCTCAGTGGTTGTGGCGCACGGGCTTAGTTGCTCCGCGGCATGTGGGATCTTCCCGGACCAGGGCTCGAACCCATGTCCCCTGCATTGGCAGGCGGATTCGTAACCACTGCGCCACCAGGGAAGCCCCCACGGGTATGCTTGTTCTTAAAGAGTCCCTTCTCTCTGAGGTGTGTCTTCCTGTTTGAAAGGCCGTGGGCCCCTCACTGCTCTCACACCATCTCAGCAGGAGGTGGCAAGCGTCAGAGGACTGACCTAGGGATCTGAGTGCCTGGGCTCAGACCCTGCGCCACTCTGTACTAACCATACGGCTGTGAGCAGGGTGCTTGGCTTCTGGTGCCTCAGTTTTAGAAACTGCAAAATGGAGCCAATACCTGCATCTCCTTTATCGAGTTGCATGTGGGTTAAAGGGCTCGTAACTCTGCCCCGAGGCTCACCATCCCTGGTAAGCGGCCCTGTTCCTCATGGCTTCTTGCAACTATGGAAAGGATGGCGTGAGTGGTTACCTGCAGGGGGCGAAGTGGGGTCCAGCCAGCTGCCGCCCCCTCCCTCCTTCCCATGGTTCTTGTTAGCCTGGGTGCTGGCGTGGGGTTGGACTCTGGGCACCGAGGGGCGGGGACACACGTGCTCCCGCCTCTCAGGGAGCTCCCAAAGGCCAACCAGACACCCACGACGAGACACACAGGGGTAGTGGGAGCCTGCGCCTGGGCCGTGGGTGCAGGGTCGAGAGACTAGCGCAGATGCAGGTAGCCAAGAGCACTTGCAGGAGGAGTTTTGGGTCAGACTGTGAAAGACAACAAGCTTGAGGAGAGCAGCTTCTGACCAAGGTATAAGTAAAGTTTAGTTTATCCTGCCGTGAGTAAAGTTTTGGAAACCAAGGCCTGGGAAGGACACTGAGAGTCCCTCTCCCTCCCTGTCCCTTTCTGCCACTCAAATCACCCCCCCCTCCCCGCCGGCGGGTCTGTGCCCTGGTACATTCTCCGCGCCTACGACAGGGCTGGGTCAGGGCTTCTGCCGCCTTTGGGTCCTAAGGCCTCCCTAACTTCCTTTGCTGCTGCCTTCGTTCTGTCTGTCTTGGCTGCTCTGGGGAGAGTGGATGCCAGTTCCCTGTCCTCAGGCAGGAAGGGCAGTGCTGAGCGAAGCAGCCTGGCGTCTCTGACCCCAGAGCCCTGCCGAGAATGGAAGCCACGTGGTATTATGTCCCTTTACATGTGGTAAATGTAGTGATGTGCTGTTGGGTGACAACTCTAAAATGATAAGCGCCAGGGACTTCCCTGGCGGTCCAGGGGTTAGGGCTCGCACTTGCACTGCCAGGCCCCGGGTTCAATCCCTGGTCGGGGAACTAAGATCCCACAGGCCCAGCAGCATGGCCACAAAAAAAAAAAAAAAAAAAAAAAAAACCCACAAAAGTAAGCACCAAGGAGAGGTGCTGGATTGGGAGGACAGCTCCGGGTGCCCCAGCAGGCAGTGGGCACTTAGCCATCTCCAGCCTGGCCCTTCCTCATGGAAGCCTCAGGACCCACCGGGGCTGAGCAGGCCCCAATGTGTAACTGTGGAGCAGCCCAGCTTCAGACTGTGGCTCTTGGCCCTGCCTGCACCCGAATCACTGATTCCCAGCATCCCCCCACCCACCCCAGTCCTGTCAGCTTTCTCCCTGGGACGTGCCTGGGCACCTCTGTGTTTCATCAGGCTCCCCGGGCTCCCATGGGAGAAGGGATCGAACAGAGAGGGGGGGAGTGTGGGACTGGAGACTGGCCATGAGGGGCAGGCGCGGGGGGATGCGCACGTGTACGGGTTTGGGGCATAGGGGGCCCTGGTGTGAGAGGGAAAAGCTCTGGGCTGGGAGCCAGACGAAGCCAGTTCTAACCCGGCTCCGGGGGACTTGCCTCTGTCCAGCCTGTTTTCAGCAGGTGGCACTGGATCAGGGCTTCCTTATCAGGAAAAGAGGAGCGAACAACACACTCGCCCTGAAAGGTTTTAAACAACGCAGGCCGGGAATCCTGGCCACCCACCCCTGAGCCCTCCCGGGTGCACGTCCTGGGAACAGGTGCAGAGTTGCCCCGTGAGTCTGTGCCTGTATGTGTGGCATCATCAGAGCCCCAAACGGGCCGAGACCCCCCCGCCCACGAGGGTACAGTCATCAGCCTGGCTTGTCCTCGGTTCCCCAGCTACCGAGCGGGTGAGAGTCAGGACTCCAGAAGCCCTGGCTGTGGTCACCCCATCAGCAAAGCCCGGCAGGTGGGGCCGGGCGGGGGCTCACCCTTGTGTGCGGTGAGCAGGGGCGCGATGGTGCTCTGGTGCCACACGGTGACCAGCAGCGTCCAAGGCAGCACGATGAGGAAAATCGCAAGGATGTCCCGTCTCTTCGGCATCTCCAAGGCTGGCTGGGCCCACAGCTCCTCGTTACCTGAGCGACGGCAGCGGACGGCGGCGAGCACAGGGGAGAAAAGAACAGGAATGGGCCGGGTGGGCCAGGCACGGGGCAGCGGGAAGCTGAATGCTGGCCAGCAGGCCTGACCACGCTCACAACCCACCCATTGCCGAAGCAGGTCTGCGGAGTCCGGCCCTACCGGAGTCTGGTGGGTGCTGCCTTCTGAGGTGGGTCAGGAACCCTGCGGGGTGGACACCTGCAAGAGAGAGCAAAGGTGGCGGCCAGAGACCTGGGCAGAACAGGTCCCCGCTGGCCGGCTCGGGACGCACAGCATCGTGTTTTCAGGGTGGAACCTGGCTTCTGCCAGTCCGTGGGGTGCGGCCAGCCTCTGTCCTCACAGGTGGCGGTGGGTGCTGTCCACTCAGGGTTCAGACACACCTGCCTGGGTTTAACCCCAACTCACTTCTGTGCCTCAGTTTTCTCATCTATGAAATGGGCGCCTTCAGCACCTACTTCCCAAGGCTTCTGGGAATTAAATGCGTTAACACCCGTGGAGCCCGTGGGCTGGCACCAGATGGACACGGCAAGCGCTCGGAACGAGTCAGCAGCTGTGATGGTCGCAGGCTTGTGCCCAGGTGGTTATTTCACAGCCTGGATTAAGGAGTGGACCCGGACACAATCTATTCTTGCGAAGCCCCCGCGGAGGTAGGGTGGAGGCCGGGCGCTGCAGCTGGGCGTCAGCCAGGAGACGTGCTCCCGGTGGGGCTGCCACGTCCCGGGGAGACGGCACTCAAATGGCAGCAGCAGGGGCTCCGGGAGCTCCAGGAGAGGTGCCCTGTGGGTAGAGTTCCCCTCTGGCCCGGCTGCCCACATGCCAGGAGACAGGCGCTCAGCCTCCGGACCGCCATGGAAACTGTCACATCCCAACGTTCACCTTCCTCCTCACTTCTGAGCTGAGTGCCGTGCAAGATGCAGCTGGGGTCCACAGGGGGAGGCGTGAGGGAGGACAGCCATGGGCGGCCCTGGCCTGTCCCAGTGTGTGGGCCACCCCAGTGCCCAGCACCGGCACACCGAGCCCCCGAGGCCGCTCGCTGCCCACCCAGCCCCCCGCAGACGCACATTCGTCTCCCGCAGAGCTGAGAGCCAGGGCTGAGCAGGATCTGGGCTCCCGTTTTGGAGGCAGTGCATCTTCCTCCTTGCCTGGTCCTTTCTCTGCCAGCAGTCCCCATGCCTGGTGCAAGAACCGTGTTGTCTTCCAGTGACAGGCACTGCGGTCTCCCGGGGTGGCCCCGCTGCCCCTGCCACCCCTGGCTCCACAGCCTCCTTGGAGTCAGATGGTGCACGGCCTGCCCCCCTGCCACCGGCGTTAAACGGTGCAGGCACAGAGCAGGGAATGATCCTGGGGTGCGAGCTGTCTCCTCCACACTCCTTGTCGTGGCCCGAGCAGGTGGGAGCCCAGAGTCCCACCCAGGATGCCTGTCTGGGTCTCCTGTGCTGCGTGAGCTCGTGCTACATCCCCGCCCAGCCCCTTCCCTGCTCCAAGGCCACAGGTAGGGCTGCGAAGGGCTGAGCTGGGGCCTCGGTTTGGCGGGGCTGTCTCAGGCCACGTGATGGGGGTCAGAGGCGCTTCCAGTAGGGCTGGCTGGGAGGTCTCCTCTGGTCCTGTGATCGCCTTGGAGCTTTTCCAGGCATCCTGGTCTTGGGGAGGCTCTGGTTCCGGCGGGGAAGCCATGGGGAGCTGGCCTGCCCTGGCACTCAGGCAGCTGCGCTGGGGCAGCCTCCAGCCTCCGGCACCTGCCCCTCCCTCGGCCGCCCGGGCTGCAGTTTGAGCAAAGAACAGCTGGTGGGGAGCATTTGTGGGGCCAGAGATGCACTTGACACTCCACGTTCAGTCTTCCCAACGCCTGGGCCGCAGGCGCTGCCCTCGACCCCTTCCACCTGGAGTTTGCAGAGGCCGTGAGGGTCCGCATCTTGTCCAAGTCACCGTCGGCATGCAGTGGGGCCAGACCTGAATCCGGGCCCTTTGGGTCTGAGCTGCATCAGGAGCTCGGGAAGGAGGGTCAGGCCCCAGAGCCCCTTCCGGGAGGCCCCCTGCAGGGCCCAGCACCCCCCTGGGGGGAGCAGGAGGGGTACCAGGAGAGGAAGGGGGGCCGTGGACGCCAGGGCCTTGGAGGGAGGCTCTGATCCCATCCGCTCTATCTGGTCAAAACTTCTATGAAAGGAAGGGGGTGGGGCGGGCAGAAAAGCTCTAAAAATAAACTTAGCCATAAACCCAGTTGTGCATTAATTACTCTGGAAGCCATTACGGCTTGCAAACCCCATAACTTTAATGGAGGCTATTATAAGCATAGCAGCAAAATCAGGGAGCGAATTACCAGGCGGTTATGAAGCAGAGCAGGGAGAGCCCCCAGCCTTGGAGAGCACCAGCTGGCCAGCAGGGGGCGGGTCTGAGGGAAATGGGGCCTGGGCTTGGGCGTCAGGGAGCAGAGGCCTGGGGGGACCTGGGCTGGGAGCAGCGGAAGCTACCCCAGACCCAGAGGCCCAAGTGTGAGACGGGGCTGCAAGGATGACCACTGGCCTCGGCCCACTTTTCCCGCCTGGCCCTGGAGGGGTGGCAGGCAGCCTGCCTGTGGTCCAGGCTCAAGCAGCCGCAGACCCAGGGCCGCCCTGGGCCCTCGGTGGCCACGGGCAGAGGAGTCAGTGCAAAGATGGAGGAGGGGCTCGGCCGCACCCGGAGCCAGGAGGAGGGGTGCGGCAGGGAGACTGCGGTGCTTGAAGCGAGGTCCTGCCGGCGAGAGCGAGGGTGGGGCCCGGTGTCCGCCGAGGCCAGGACTCCCCACCAGCCACCGCAGTTCGTGTCCGTGACTGGCCCCCGCCGCCCAGCCCCTCAGCAAGTGCAGACGGGGGGCCTCGGCTGGACACAGACAAGGCTGCGCCGAGGGGCGTGTGAGCCCCATGGGACGGCACAGGGGACGTGAGGGGGCGGGACAGTGCTCTGGCTGCTGCCCCCGGGGCCCTGCTTGTCCTCCTCGGCCTCCACCCTCATCTCCACACACAGGGCTGGACTGGGAGGTTCTTATGAAGTTTCAGTTCTGCCATTTTAGCACCTTGAGGTTAAGACAGGGCTCTGGTGGGAAAACGGGGTCGGGTGGCATTCAAGGCCAAAGTCAAAGCAAGAGGCCAGTGTAACAGCTGATTCATGGGCCAAGCAGCCCTGGAGACTGGCCTCGTCTGGGGAGACCTAGTTATAGGAATTTGCCTATGGGTTTTAGGGTGTCATGGGTTGTGAGAACCAGGGGGTGTCTGGGACCCAGATGGGGGGCCCCGATGTGTCCAAGGCTGGGCTGCAGCCGGGCAGGCTGGACAGGAGAGGCTGGGCCTGGGGAGGCAGGGCCAGGGCAAGGTTGGCTTCCAGGCTGGACGATTCCAGATGCATGGATAGCCTGCCTCCTGAGCTGCAGGATTCAGACGAAAACCTCACCCGCGTCCCAGTACCTGCGGAGGAGGCTGGTTTAATTCCATTCAGCAAATATTAGTTCAGCATCGGTGGTGGGCAAGGCCCTGCTGGATTCCCTGGACCACACGGCAGCAGGGAAAGGGGCTTCACACGGCTCCGTCCCATCCCTCAGGGAGGTGCTCCGGAGATGGCGTGTGCATGTGTGTGGCGGAGGTCAGTTTCACACAGACCACCCCAGCCCTCGCCTCTGGAGCAGGATAGGAGCCGTGGTGCCCATAAGCCCGGGACGGTGGCGGTCACAGGAGGCCGCGGGGTTAAGAGTCCTTCGAGGTGATGCGGACACTGCACGTGTCCCGACAACTGCACGATCAGCCGTCCTGTCCCCGACCACACGCTCTTCACTGGCCAGCGTGGCACTGCCCGCTTGGGAAGCGGGGCTGAGGCCTGTCCTGGGAGCTCGCCACCCTCTGGGAGTCGCCCCGCTGGGCACACCGCCTTTGGCCTCAGCGACGACTTCTCGGAAGTGATCCAAGACCTTGGGACACTCGGTGAGGAACCTGCGCTGCTTCCTTTAGAATTGTTATGTTTCCCACCAATCTTCACCTCATTTGGAGAACGTTTTCCCTAGACTCGCCTCATGGAATCTTCTGACAGCATTCAGCTTAGTTTTCCTAGGAACGACACATTTCTTTCTTTCCAGCTCGTGTTTCTTGGTTTATGTCATATTCCGTGATGATGAGAACAAGCAGAAACTGTTGCAAACAGGCTGGGAACCAACATTATGGACACTTGGATCACTGACCGCCAGAGGGGACCCCCAGCCCCCTGAGGACATCAGTCCTGAGTCACTGGAGGAGAGGTGGTGAGGAGAGCACTGCCGTGCCCGGGAGGAAAGAAACTGGCCTGACACCGGGAGCCTGAGTCCCGCTGGGGCCGAGCAGATGTCAGGGCTCGGGTTGTGGGGGGCCGGGTGGTGGTGTGAGAGGACGGGCGGGGGTGCCAGGGGCTGCAGGAAGCAGGACACGGGGAGGGGTTAACAGCAGACAGCAGGCGGGTGCGGTTAGGGCTCCAGTTCTACCCTCCAGCCCCAGACAGTGCCCGGGAGGGAGGCTGGACGCCGTCCCTGAGACCTGCAGGGGCCCTAATGGGATCAAGGGATTAGTATTGATCCTGCGGCCGCTGCTCAGGACAAGCCAGATGCCAGAGCTAATCAGCTCCTGTCCAGTCAATCCACACTCCATTAACTGGCCCCAGGCCTCTCCTCCCTGGCCACTGCACCCACACCGGCTCCACGGGGGAGGGGGCGGGACACGGGGGCCTCTCCACCCACCATCTCTGTCCGCTTCCTGCTCCTGTCCCCACCACCTGCAGGGGACTGGACACAGAGGGGTCCACAGCTCCTTCCACCCACGAGGAGGGCGTGGTGCCCAGGAGGGCTCAGGGTTGGCCCTGCAGCTCACAGCCCTGCCCTGGGCAGGTGGGATTCATTTCTTCATAAAGCCGGTCCTTTATCTCCACAGCAGCCTGGGGCAGGCAGGGAGGTTTCATACCCATTGTACATGTGAGGAAACCGAGGCTTGGAAGGGCCCAAGGTCCTGGAGTCAGCGGAGCTGCTCACATCCAGGTGCCCCATGCACAATGCCCCCTGCCTGCAGGCCGGCCCCCCTAGGGCCACCCCAGGAAGGGGCTCCCCAGCGGGCTTTCACGGTGGGGGCTGAGAAGGAGGGGTTCTCGCCAGGAGGCCAGGCCCCGCTGGGGCAGAAGGACGTTGGCTTGGCTCGGGCAGAACAGCTTTGGGTTTCTTCCGCCCGAAAGTCAGGAAACACAGCTCATCGGTCGTCTGTCTGAGTTGGTTCCCTCGTTCTCTTTCTTGGTTTTTCAGATATAGCCTTGGGATCAGGTTTGGATTCTTAGTAAAGAGTGAAAATGGGGGTCTGGTCTGCGTGGTCCCCCCTGCATCACTGCAGGAATTTGAACGGAACAAGCTATCAGCACCAGTGGGTTTACTGGAGTTCCTAAATCAGCGGCGTGGTCTTTGGGCAGAAGGGCGTCCACTCGTCCCACAGCCTCCCTGCAGGAGGGCTTCATCTCAGGGGTTTCCTGCTGCTGCTCTGGGCTGGGCCCGGAGCACACGGGTGACCCGCGGCTTGGCTCAAGGTGGGGACAGCGACCAGAGGGACACAGACCGGATGGAGATCTGCACCGTCTGACAGTGGCCGGCTGGGCCGAACGCCCCCTGTGAAGAGCCACCACGCAGAGGGTCTTGGGGTGGCCGTGCAGGGCTGGGCGGGGAGGGCACCCAGCAGGGAGGTGCTGACGGGAGCCCTGGGCAGGCGGGCAGAGAGTGGCACGGCCGCGGTCCTCCCCTGGTGGTAGGGGGGGCAGTGAGGGCAGGCCCGGCTCTGCCGTCTGTGGACTGGGGAGCGGCCCCTGCATGGAGTCCAGCTTCTGGCCCTCGGCTTGGCCTGGGGTTGGGGGAGGCTTGGTCTTGGCAGGAGCTGCCTCCCCGACCCCCTCTTCCCCCTTCCTCCCTGTATCTCTGTCCCTGCCCCCTTTTGGCAACCGCGCCAGCTTTTAAGAGAACGTCACTGTCCCCAAGACAAGCGCCCCTGGTTCCCTCACAGCCGACCTGTGGTCACGTGCTTACAGCTCTAACCACCCAGTTCTCTTCCATCTCCACCTTCCGTGGGTCAGGAGCCCAGCCGACGTGCGGGGTCCCCTGCGCAGGGGCTCCTGGAGGGCTGAACAGGTGCGCTTGCTTCCACGCCCGGGGTTGGGGGGCGGCAGAGGCCACTGCCCCAAAGTCACAGGACCGTGGGCGGCACTGCCCTCGGCTCCCTGCCCCGTGTCCTCGGCCAACATGGTCACCCACGCCCTGGGACAGCAGGGAGGGCACCCGGGGCAAGTCTGCCGCCAGGACGCGTCCTCCAGGACACTGTGAGACTGCAGGAGGGACAGCCCATCACCTTGACCACGTTCTCCTGGTCACAGGCGTGTCCACACTGAAGGCGTGGACAGCGGGCGTCAGAGGTCACGGGGACACCTTAGGGCCTGTCCAGCACAGCAGGGAGGCCAGGTCACTTCCCGACCTCAGCTCCCGTCTGGCCACGCAGCCGGCACACCCGAGGGGCTCCCCGTGGCCTCCCCCTCCCCCTGCCCGCTCTGGTCTCAGTCTCCTCCTCCAGCCTGGAGCTGTTCTGTGTCTGGAATGTTCCACGGACACCTTAAACACAAAAGAGACCCCACCGTCGTCTTCCTCCCAGAGCAGCTCCATCTTCCTCCTCGTCTCGGCGGCCAGCACAGAAATCCCGGGCTGTTCCCACTGCTCCCTGCATCCACCGGGCCGCGCCCGGATGCCGGTCCAGGCCTGCTCTTTCCTCCACGGCCTCCCATTGAGATCTGTCTGCACAGCCCACCTCACTGCCTGGCCCGCCCCCCTGACGTGCCCTCCCCAAGACCTCCTGAGTCCCCCTCCGTGGCATCTGAGGCTCTCGGCTGTGCTGCCTCACCCACCACTAACTGCATCCTCTCTGCTTCCCTTCCACCTCCTGCCACCACCGTCCCTGACCCCACGTCCAGCCCGGTGCCTTCCCTCCCTGCAGCGCTCGTGAGAGCTCTGGACGCTGGCAGACCTGCCTTGGTCCATCGGACGGTAACTCCCCTCCCACCCCGAGGTCTGGGCCAGCCCCGAGGCTGAGTCCAGAGACCCAAAAAGCAAGCCAGCCCGGCCCTCACGGCCAGCATCCCCTCATGTCCTTCCTCCCTGTGGCCTCTGACCCCCGCTGCTCCCTTTGCCAGGCCTCTGCCATGGCCCAGCGTGGGGGCCTGTGTGTCCCTGGGCCCGCTGGCTGCCACGGGGTCCTTGCCCTGTGGAGCCCCGAGTACCAGCTTCGTCACTGTGCGCCCACCCCCTGCCCGCTTGACTCCATCTGACTGGCCCGACGGCAGCGGCCGCGGCACCTGCTCTCCCTCCTCCTGTACGTGGAATTTGTAGTTTCACTCAGGAGTGCGGCTGGGGCCGAGTCCATCCTGCGAGCTCCACGGGGCCACCCTCTCTGGGTGACGTCACAGGGCTGCCCGTTCACGGCTTCACACACGTGTGCATGCATGTGTGCTCGTGGCCAGCACCCTATCTGAATGAGTGCACACGTATCTGTGGGCCCACGCGTGGGTCTCCAGTCAGCCAAAGATGAGCTCTCGAGCTGACCCAGGTGGGCTTCTTTGTGCCCGCGGCACGATCCCGGGGAGCAGAGGGCTCCACTCGCGGCTCCTGGGACCGTCTCCCTGCCCCCCCGCCTGCCCCCCGCCCTCCCGTGCTACAGCTAAGCAGCACCGGCAGGCAGGCCGCCCTGGCACAGGCCGAGGCCCCGCCCGATCCCAACACGGTCACAGCAAACGCCCTGGACTGAACACGCCAACCTTTCCCGCCAGCGCCCAGCTCGCTGCGTAGCCCAGCATCCTGTGAGGGGTGGGGCAGCTTGGGACACAGTGACACCCACCGGATCAGGCCAGTGCCTGTGGGGGCAGGAGCCGAGGGCTCCGCAGATTCTGATACGAGACGGACGGCGGGGCTGGCGCACCGGACGAGCAAAGCCAACAGCTTCTAGTGGACCAGGGCGGCAATAGCCACCGCGCGGCTGGGCGGGCCTCCCCTCCTGACCGGCCGCCCAGCATGGGTGGGAGCGGTGCGCTCCCTGCCGAGGCTGAGGACACCAGAGCTCAGAAGACGGTGGGGCCCTTGCACCCTGGGCTCCGGGAGCTGGGGTGGTGCAACCGGGTCTCCTTGACCCCCTCTCCACTGGGGAGGCCCAGGGAGGCTGAGAAGGGCCCAGGGCTGCACTGCCTGGGGGGTATGGAGTGCTGGCTGCAAGGACGGTCCACAGCGTGGAGCCTGGCACAGGTCCTGGTGACCCTGGCTGGCCAGTGAGCAGGGCATGTGGTCTCAGCAAGGCCAGGGGACCAGAACTAAGCAGGCTGGGTAACCTGGAGGTTCTGGCCCTGGAACTGAGGGTGTGACGCCCGGCTGGGCCAGGACGGCTGTGCAGGGCCGTGGGCGAGGCTGGGATTCAGATGCCCTGGAGGGGTGTGAGCGGCCGAAGGCAGTCTGTCCCCACTGCACCGTCCCCTGCCCCCAGGCTGTGCAGCCTCCATTTCCTCTGGTGCTGATGGCGAGCGGTTTGGGGTGGGGTGCTGACCGGGGGAGACCACCTGGAGCTCTGCGCCCCCGGCCATATCCCTTCTCCTCCGCAAGCTTTCCCAGGCCTGAGCATTCAGCGTCCGCACAGCGAACGGCCAGCCCGCATCCTGCGAGAGCTTGTCGGTTTTCGTGTCTGTCCGCAGCCCCCAGGCCATGGACTCCTCTGGATCCACCCCAGGCCCGGGCCAGACACGGAGCAGGGGCTGCGCCAGGGTCCCTGCGACTGAGTCCCTTCTCGGCGACTCTTACCAGGCCACTCTGCGATCAAATGAGGGGTCCATGGAAAACACTATCATGGCGCCTGGCCCACAGGGAGCACCACGAATGCTGGGCGACGTCAACTGTAATAGAAATTATAGCAGCAACCATGTTGTTTGAATCCAGCCGAGTCCAAGTGTCTGGAAGAGAAAGGGAAGCCAGGGCACCTCAGCTCCCCCCGGGTCAGCATTGACTGGCCTCTGGGCAGTTCTTCTAGCAGATTCCTCCCTCCCAAGGACAAGGCTGTGCCGAGGAGGGTGGTCCACGGGGCGTGGGCTCCGTGGCGGTGTGCTGAGCGGGACGTCCGGGCTCCTGGCCGCGGGCTGCCTGCCGTGGGCTCACGCAGCTCCCTGGGTGGGCACCGCTTTTCTGTTCCTCTTTTACACATTTGGAAACTGAGCTGGGCCTGCCCTGGTGTTGGGACACCTTCCTGTCCCCCCGCATTAGTCCTGTGTCCCTACCCAACCTCCAAGATTCGCACCCAGGGCAGGACCGGGGATTTCAGAAGGTCAGGGGTCCCCCGTCTCTCCTCCTGTCTCCAGAGCTGTCAGAGCTGCGGTTCTCCTCCTTCGGGCTGAGCTTGGGGGTGTGGGACCATCGACCCCGGGCTGCTCGTTTCATGCCCTTTCCCCCTGGAAGCAGGAAAGGGCTCCCGGAAAGCTGCTCTCACCACCTCTGTTTCCTGTTACTCCTGCCGGGTCCCTCGTCCCCCCACCCCTGCGTGTCAGCTGCTCCCACTGCCTGATGAGAGACAGTTCAGGGAAAGTGTTGCAGGAGATGCAGGGGGTCCAGCCCAAGAAGGCCTGTGAGCCCGAGTGGGCAGCACGTGCTCCCCCTGAGAGGCAAGACGGATGGAGGGTCCCTAAGCTCGGCCCCCAGACGGTAGATCCCGCCGACACTCTGTCTGTTTTACAGGCCGTGCACTATACAGCCGGCAGCAGGGCAGCACGACGGCTGAGACGGGGCTGAGCACCGCGGAGCTGCGTGCAGAGGGGCTGGCCCTGCGCACAGGGCTCCTGGGTCAGCAGGGCTCCCGGCCCAGGGACAGGCTCTGCGAGGAAGGGTCCCGGGTGGGGTTCTGGAGGGAGCAGGGCAGGCGACCCCACCTGGTGCCTCTGCCTGGCATGCTCTTCCCTGGCCAGGCTCCTGCCCCACCTCTGGGCTGGCCAGGCACACCCTCCTGGGGACTGTCATGAGGGCTGGGCTCTAGGGACACGCGTTTGGTACTGGACAGGCGGGGAAGAGCAGGGCTCCATCCTCCCTGCTCCTCATGGCACCTGGTACTCAGAGCACAGAGGCGTCTGCAGCCTCCCGGAGGGAAGGGCAGTGGGGAGACACCACTGTTGACCACTTCTGCCCCACAGTCTGGCATCAAGCGACCCGCCAGCCTGATGACCAGGCAGACAAAACACATCCACACGGTGCAATCCAGCCCGAGCGAGGACGAAGCCCTGACCCCTGCTCCGACGTGATGACCCTGGAGGACGCTGCACTCAGGGAGGGGCAGGCGCAGCCTGGCTAAGCCCATGTGACCCACTTACAGAGGCGGGTAAGTGGTCAGACTCATAGGGACAGAAAGCAGAAGGGTGGCTGTCAGGGCTGGCGGCGGGGGGTTGAAAGGGTACAGAGTTTCCAGTTTGCAAGATGAAAAAGTTCTTTAAGCAGTTATCCCTTCTTAGAGACAAGACATGAGGGTCACAGAGAGGTTAGGCGATGGCCCAAGCCACACAGCTGTGCGTGGCAGAGCCAGGATGTGAGTCCAGCAGCCCACGCTCTCAGCGCCTCACTAAACCAGCTTTGCAAGATGGAGATGGATGGTGGCATGACACCGCGAACGTACTTAATGCCAGTAAGCACTTAAAAGCGGTTAAGATGGTACATTTTCATTTTACTTTACGTGTTTTTTTTTTTTTTTTTTTTTTTAACTACAAAAACGAACCTGTCAACCAGAAGTTCTGGTTAGATGGGTCAGCAATGACCCATCCAGACACCGGGGGGGCATAAGAGGGCTTTCCTTGCAGCGGGGCTGGGTGGGCACCTGTGTGTGGTCCCAGTGCGTGGCCCTCCTGCTGGCTGTCACTTGGGAGCGTTACCATGAGGAAACACGCACAGGGCACGCCTGGGGGACGCAACCCCAGGGGTTCCAGATGAGCTGCTAGGAGTGAGCAAGACGTGGCCAGAGGGTGGAATGCACACACACACACACACACACACACACGTGCACTCACACGCATGCATGCATGCACACACTGGAACACACAGGCACGTACACGCAAGGCAGCCTGCTGGGTCTCCAGCCTCGGGTGTGGGGAGAGGTGGAGGCTGGAATGCTGGTTCTCGGAGGGAGATTTACAGGAGGGAGAGGAAGTTAATATCGGCAGGTGATGAGTTAGGTGAGTAATGCTTCGGCTTTAGTTCAGAAGCTTTCTGAGGGAAAAAGAAAAGCACCTGCTCAGAGGCAGTACGGCAACCCAAGCAGAGCCGCCTGGGAGCAGAGCGGGCCCGGGGCCCAACGGGCAGCCCCGCTGTGAGCCGGTCCGTCCTTCTGCTCCGTGCTGTGCGGGGAGGGCTTCCCCGGAGGCCTGGTGTGGCCACTCCACTGGCCGCACCTTCCAGTAACTGGGCCTCCAGGGATGCGGCCTGACACCCCAAGTCCACTCTGACCTCCAAGGGCATCGGGTCAGTGACGGGGGAGGGGGCTGAGGACGAGCCTGGATTTCCTCAGGCTGCAGAGGCCGCCCAGGGGACCCCAATCAGCTAATGGGGACCCAGGGCTTCGGGATTGGGCTGAGTGGAGCTGGGAGCCCCCAGAACCGGTCTCGAGCCAGCGAGGGCCCCGATGGCTCACCCAGCCTGAGGATTTCCAGGCTGACCTCACCCCTCTGGTCAGAGTGTGCAAGCACATACCACGCAGGCTGATGATTCGCTGGTTTAATTAAGGTTTCCAGTGTATTTTTAATGCGTTGCCTGTGGCCTGAACCAGCTGACCTTCCCTGGGGCCCTGTCAGGATAGTTTAGCTGGGTCCTCCTGGGCCAGCTACCATGGGAGGAGAGCGAAGGCCTGTGCCAGCTGGTGGGGGAAAGGAGCCCGGCTCTCAGGGTGGGCCTCTTACCCCGAGCCTTGGGGGCTGCTCCTGTGGTCCTGCTGCCTGTCTCTGTCCTGCAAGAGCACAGGGGACCTGAGAGAGGGAGGGGTGGGCATTGGGAGACTCAGGTCACAGTCTGGGACAAGGCACCAAAGTGCTGTGTGACCTGAAACAAGAGTGGACCCTCCCTGGGCACCGGCTTCCTTATCTGCAGAAAGAAGGAAGCACCTACAGCCACAGAATCCTAATCCCAGGCCAGGCCGTCTGCTGGCCTCAGCGCTAGTCCATGGCTGTGGATGCGAATTCCTGCTCCCAGATCCGTTCCCTCTTCCCTTTGCCTTCTCGGCTGGTGGGCTCCCCACTCCTGCCTCCTGCTCCTGGGGCGTCCGTCATGGAGAGCTTACCAAGGGAAGCGGTGTAATCGCGGTGGGAAATGTTCACATGCTTCCTGCTCCTTTCATTTCAGATGAGGAGATAGAGGCTCCTGAGATTCTGTCACTCAGAGAGCGGTCGACACAGCTGGGCCTGGAACCGGGCTCAGCCAGCTGACCGCTAATCCCGTCTGGCCCAGGGCCCCTCTCGCTCCGCTGGACCTTAGGTCCAGGGCTGGGAGCCCAGGCAGAGACCTCACGTCCCCACCGAGATGCTGGCGGAGGCCGGAACCTCATTTGCTCCTTTTACCTTGAACACACGGGGGCTAAGGAAATGCTCTTTGGTGGGAGGTGCGTCTGCTTCCCTGGGGATCTGGCAGTGTTCATCTGCAAAGGCAGACACACACCCCACCTCATTTTCTGTCCCTGGAGAGTGGTGCAGGGCTTATTAACCAGCCACGCCCCATCACAGGGGAGGAGACCGAGACTCAGAGTGGCTGGGAGACGGAAGCAAGGCCACACGCTGGGCCCCTCGGCACGCCTGGCACCAAGTAGGCTGTTCCCTAAGTGTCTGTTAGGTGAAATCTTAACTAAATGAGTAATAAAAAAAAATTGCTAAGCAAAGCACTCCTCACGTTCTAAGTGAGTAACATGATTAACTGTAATCCTCATTCCTGCCTCACAAACATCCTGTTATCCCTGCTTAGAGACAAGACATGAGGGGCACAGAGAGGTTAGGCAATGGCCCAAGCCACACAGCTGTGCGTGGCAGAGCCGGGATGTGTGAGTCCAGCAGCCCACGCTCTCAGCGCCTCACTAAACCAGCTGTGTAGAGCCCAGAACAACACTTGCCAGGAGAACTTGGGGACGCTGGGCACATCCTACGTGCATCCATGCCATCCAGTATGGTGGCCACAGGACATGTGTGCTACTGCGCTCTTGAAATGTGGCTGGTGTGGCTGCGGGATGCCACCAGGGAGGGAGAGCAGCCCGCCCCACGTCCAGTGTTGGGCTCTAAGGCTTCTGAGTGCTGGTTAAGTGAACAGCCCAGAGTCCTGAGCCTAAAGACACTCATGGCCTCCGAGGACAGATTGTTCAACTACTTCACGCAGAAGGAAGCAAGACGGGAGAGGAGTGAGGGGGAGGTGACCGCATGCGCCCAGGCTTGCACAGGGGTCAGCAAGGACCCGCAGACCGGGTCCCCTCCTAATACCCACAGCCCTGCCCTCTGGTCTCTGCTCCCCCTGCTTCCCTCCCCCCTCCTCATGAAGCAATAATAACGGCTCACGTCTTCTACCTGCAGGGCAGGAGAAACCCTGCTGACAGCTCTAATACTGCAGGCAAGGCTCATCGCCAATCCAGCCAACTCTTGGAGGTCCAGACTGAGACTCCCCACTTTTGGGCTTATCGGTGGCAAAGCCCTAATCCCTGCCAGGCGCTTGGCTGGAAGGCCGCTGTCCCGCTGTCAGCTGGTGTGCTCAGGGAGTACAGATTCATTTTAATATTGGCTGGAGCTAAACCTCATTAGAAAAGTAAATTTGCTGTAGCTGTGGAAAAAAAAAAAGCAACCCACACAGTCCTTCCTCCTAAAGCTAAACCGGAAACCTGATTTGATTTTGGATTGTTTGACGCTTTACGTCCCCAGCACTGGCCCAGAGCCTGGAACACAGTAGGTGCTCAGTGAATGTGTGTGGAAGGGGGCTTTTGAGCAACTTCCGCCCACTCTGCCAGCTTCTAGCACGGATACCAAGAGGCCACCGGCCTGGGGTTCTCGTCAGTTGTGTGGATTTTTGGGGACAACCACTGTCTGAGACGTGCAGTGACCACACTGACCACCGATTAGACACGGGACCCATGTTGCTGCCATTCGGCAAGGAGACACCAAGCATGTCTCGATGCAGAGGCATGGCAGGGGCTGGACAAGCCCCAGAGTCCGGAGGCGTGGGAGTCTGAGGGGAGAGCCGGCAACAAGGCCAATGTGACCGGTCCCAGAGTGGGCCAGAGAATTGCTACTCCAAATTCTAGAGCCATCCAGACCCCAGAAGAAGGTGGGGGGAGGTGAACGCAATGCAGATGTTACAGTAACATCCACCGAGCACTTCACCTACAAACAGCCTGGTGGGAGAGGCTCCTGGATTTATGGGCCTTCGGGAAACCAGGGCTTACAGGGTTCCGCTTTTCCTGAAGTCCACCCAGCTGGTCACAGAGGGGCTGAGGCTGCCCCGGCCTGGCCAAGCCTGTGCCCTGCACGGCACTACCTCCCTGCCCCCCACCCCACGCTCTCAGCAGGGTCCCCAAAGGCCTTCTGGCCTGGAGGTGCAGGAAGGAGGTTTTCCTTTTCCTTCTCCCCAGGTGCTGGATCCCCCAGAGTCCACTGTACCCCGGGGCCGGGAAGGGTGTGGGGCAGGCACCAAGAGATGGGTCTCCCTGAGAGTCCCAGATCTCACAGCCTGTCCCCCTTCTGCCTGAGGACCTCCTTCTGAACCCCACATTCATCCGAGCCTCGGGAAGAGCCCTCCTCAGTAGGCCGTCCCCCCTGCTCCACGGAGGGCCTCCTGCCCTGGCTGATGGCTGCCGGTGGGGGCATCCTGGAAGGAGGCCCGAGGCTGGCCCACCCGTGCCCCTGGGCCCCCGTCATCCGTGCCTCCGTGTCTTTGTCTGCTGTCTCTCGCGTGCTTCCCTGTCTGCCTCAGGCTCTCAGATTCTCTCTCTTCCCCAGCCCTGCCCCTCTCCCCCTTCAGTTCTCAGCAGAGGGGAGTGCTCAGGCCTCTCCACCCCAGCTCAGGCCCTCCTCCGGCCAAAGCTGACCCAACACGCTCCCTGATCCTAGAGCCTGGCTCGGGGCAGCTCACCCTGCCGAACCCGCCACGCTTGCAACGCTCCTGCCCTGCCTCATACGCCGTGCCACGACCAGAGAGGTACAGCCACCCGGGGCCCCTCACCCCTCGCCCATCAAAACTACAGTGGGAAAATGCAGGTCCGTCCAGAGGCCCGATGCCGGGGACAGGGCAGGCCCCACCGCATCTTCCTCTGGAGCCCCCGGTCTCTGTCCCCATGCTTCAGGTGGACGGTCAGTGCCTGCTGGTCCAGAAACCTCTGTGCAAGTACTCAACCCAGCACCTGTGAGCCTCCAACAGGCGTGAACAAGGAGGGATCCCCCAGCATCTGCGGGTCAGGTACAGAAACGTGCACAGCAAGCCACTTGGCGCCGGTGCTGAATGGGGCACAAATCCATCAACCCTCCCTGTTCCATAACCGGGGCAAGCCTTCCCGCTCCCATCCAAAGGGGCACAGGGGAGTGCATGCAGCTCCAGAACCTTTGGGGGTGATGGGCATGGACTGGGCACAATGGATAGTCTCTTTGAAGGTCTCACGGGGAAGGGTCTTTGTTCCAAACAAAGGAAGGGGGGGACTTACGTTTGGCCTAGTACGGGCAGTAGCCGTCACCAGCTAAGCAGGTTTGGGAGGAAATGTCT